GTGTCCATTCTTCACCACCTGATCATTTTAAACAAGGAGAAAAGCCAGAGCAGTAAGAGAAGATTCTGCGTAGGCAATTGTCCTTTTTCGTGGTTGCTAATGTAATTTTCAAACCTTCATATTAGAGTTTATTCATTCAAATAGACTCATTGCATGCATAAAAAAGTGTGTAATGATGGGTAAAAGAAAGGGGGATTCGAAAGATGTTTTATTTTTTAAAAATGCCCAGCTTTTAAGTTATTTCTATAGCATTTTTTTCTATACTATTCACACTATTGCTAGAACATTTGCTGTTGCTTTATTTGAAGTCTAAAAAATGAGAGCAACCCAGTCCTTTAAAGACATCTGATTTATCATCACATACATGTGGAGCAAGGTCAATGCAAAGGTCCTATAGGAAAAAAAACAGATGAGCTCAGTCTGCTGGGACGGGACAGTAAAGAAAGAGGAAAAGAGTGGTAAAAAGAGAGATGAAACAGTAACAGAAAACAGACAGGGCAAAGTGAGACATCAGTAGGACATGAAAGAGGGCTGCTCTTCCTTCCTGTTCCACTTCCAGTGTCTGCTCGATCGCTCATCCACACACACTAAGAACTTCAGGTTTACATGTTTCGAAGTGAGGTCTTAGCGCTGGTTCTGGCAGGATTAGGGCTGTAGTTGGCTAAAGACATTTTTGGATGACTAAAGACAGGCACTGACAAAAGCTCAAAACTAAATAGAAAAAACAGATCACTTTTATGAGTATTGATACTCTGCAGTGACGTCACATTGGGGGTGTTCTACATCTATTGCTATGCCAGACTGTTTTGATGGTTTTAGCATGGTAACACAAGGCACACATTAGCGCACTGATTAAAAGGGAGCATGGCACTGACTCAGAACGCTATTAGGATCTTGCACAAAAACACAAGATGTACAAATAATCTGCATCTTAACGAGCCTGTATTATGTTATTTTCTGATCTATGTTATAATGTTTCCTCATCACAAACATACCTGGATTTTTTTTTTCCCCTACGCATGTTAATACGCGTATTTAGTTTAGTCTCTCAAGCAGAAGACACTGTTCCACCTTGTGATGTCATGTGGTAATACAGGTTTTTGTTTTGTTTTTTAAACTCCATATACCTTCACTAGAATCATTTGGATAATTTCAGCCCTGGAGTTGCCAATCTTTACTGAACAAAAGGTTAACGGTAGCGGTCAACATAAAAACTACCACTTAATGACATCACAATGTGGAACAGAGCATTTTGAGCTTTGGAGATGTAGACAGACTGATAACATATAAACATAATAAACATGTGAGAATGAAACAAAACACAATTCCATGTATGTTTTTGAGGAGGTAAAAACATTATAACATAGTTTAAAGCTCACAAGAGTCAGTTTTGCATAATAAAGGACCTTTAAGTGAAATACCGTAGCACTGATGGTGTATTCGAATTTCAAAGGGATGCCAACATAAGTGGCATTATTTTAGGCGCCTGAAATGACAGTGTAAATATTTTTAACTGAAGCTGCAATGCATCCTTTTGCACCCCTGTAGACCTGTGCCCATAACTCACTCCATGTTTTCTTTCTACTTATAATCCTAATAAAATAATTGATCAACTAATAAAAAGGAGTACAGGGGGATATTAATCATAATGATATCTTGATTGGTCATCTCTGTTATGTAGGAGGAAGAACTCAGCAGCATCACGCTCATTTCTAGAAAGAAGAAGTATTCTTTGCTCTATTTTCAAGAACATTCTCAAAGATCTGATTCAAGCAGTGTGTCATTAAACTTTGAACTAAAGGATTAGGAGACCAACAAAATTATTTTCCTATTATCCTATTAGAAGTGTTAATGGATAAACAATGCAATAATAAACAGTTGTATGTTGAAGTAAAAAAAAAGCTGTAATACTGCTTCTTCAGAATCAATAAATCACACATAAGTGATCTCTGTGGTTAAGTTATGTTACACTAATCTAATGTCTGTAATGATTTATTGCATTTGTTGCTCTGGTGTGTTAAGATTACCCTTGAAACTATAGCCACTGCACAACATTACACAATCCTCTATTACGAACATCCAGTGAGTTGAAAATAGCATAGATAGTGTCCTATGGTGCCACTTTACCAACACACTGCAAAAAGTAATATCTAGGTAAGTTCAAATGAGTCAAATGAAAAACATTTGACTTGATTTCAGTAGAATTCACTTGACAAGTAAAATTATCTACCAGTGGAATATGTTGTTTTGTTCTGATTCAAGCAAAATAAGACCTAGTTTCTTATTTTAAGTGCAAAGAGTTGTTATTTCTTTGAGATGTACAAAAAGTCTTCCATTCCATTGGTTGATAATTTTGGCATGTCAAATTTACTCAAATCAAGACAACATTTTCTTAATTCAAGTCATTTTAACTAAGATAGACTTTAGTTTTTGCAGTGCATGATCTCAGACTTCATTGAAAATACGGAGCTATAGTGTGAAGTCAGTGAAGGCTATTGTTGAGTGCACTAATCCCATAACAAACTGGTTTCACAAAAGAGCCACTGTTTGAACAGCAGCAACAAAATAACTGCTTCAAACAAGGACGTCCCAACCGTCAAAATGTGGCGGACAGGGCATTTGAATAAAACATTTTCTATTCCCTGCAACACTGGAGTGTTAAAGCTGTACTGTGTAACTTTTCTGGAGGGTTAACATGGAGATGTTAATTCTTTAGTTTAAATTGTCTTGAGTATGGTCTTCAACTAATCGCTGCTGTATTTATTCAACTACAGGTGTTTAAGTGCTCAAAAATATCTTAAAAAAACATAAATTAGTTCTGTGTGCGGGATCGCCTTTCCACAACTCTAAGCTGTAATTATCATGCAAGTCTCCATGGAGATTCATGAGTTTATGGCCATACTGCGGAATATTCCAGGCCCACCTCCATGGAAACAAGCAGGTGACAGACCTTCTCGTAGACAAGTTACATGTTGCATCTTTAAAAGTTCATTGTGTAGCTTTTCTGGTGGAAGTGTCCGTCAAATGCTTTTCTCTGTGTAAATCTTATTGCTCTGTCCTGAATGTTTCACAGTATGGCATTAAACCTTTCTTTATATCTTCTTGGAGACCAAACCAGTTTAAGTTACAGGTCAGCTCTGTGGAGAGGCGACCCCACTGACAGTCAGAATGTTGGTTTCTCTGTGCATTTTTGAACAGTAACACACCTGTAATTGAATAAATGTAAGGTAGAGCTGTTTACTGTCCATAGAAACAATCAGGTGACAGACCCTCTACCAGAAAAGTGACACAGTGCATCTTTAACTGCAAATGGCTTGGTTATGGGTATAGGTATGTAGTGGGACTGCGTGAGCTCCGGGCTAAAACAGAGCCTTTGAAATCCACACAAGAAGCAGCCAATGAAAGCAGAAGTTGAGTCTATAAACAGTCCCGCTCACCTGTAGGCTTGGCTTGTTGTGTCCTGATGAAGTTTGTGCGCGCCCTGAAGGAGAGGTAGAACAGGTGAGAAGCTGTGACAAGTCAAAGCACGCTGACATCTGTGGGAAAGAGGCTATCAGTCCATATCCACTGTGAGAATGAGAGTAATATTGCACAGTCAAGGAAGTGATCATGAGCAGTTATATACAAAACCATTTATTATGTTACTGAGAGGTCTTGTTAAAACAGGTTGTTCACATCAATATAACTGTTGTGTTAATGTGTTTAGTTAAGGGGTGGTCAGGTAAATGTGAAATATAAAAAATAGGTCACTTTAATGAGTATTGATACTTTGCAGTGACATCAGACTGGGGGTGTTCTACATCTGTCACTATGGAGGAATGTTTAGATGTTTTATCATGTGACACAATGCACACATTAGCAAACAGAGTAGGGCCGGGTAACATTAAGAAGTTGCCGATACGATACATATCTCGATACATAGGGCATGATACAATACATATCTCGATACAGTGAGCTTTTGATTTGATACGATATATTTCAAATTGATTCAATACGGTTCAGTAAAATAAAGGCTAAAACGTGGCTGTGATATTAAAGGAATTTGTTAAACCACTTCTTGCGCAAAGTTCACATGAAACACACACCCATTTTAATCATCTAAACAATGAAAATGTCAAATGTGTTGCGTAAATGAGTGTCCTTCATCTAATCAAGCTACAAAACTGTAGCATTGTAACAAAATAATTTAGTAAAATACACAAAAAATACTCTTGGTAATATATCCATACAGCAGATGATATCGTTACTGTATCATCACATTAAACAATACAATATATCGATATATCGATTTGCACACCCCTAAAGTAAAAAAAAAAAAAAAAGTTTTAAGATTGTCTGAAAATGCAAGAAAAAATACTAAATTTATTTAAAAAGGACATTTTCAGTAGCATAAGTGAGCGTGTTTTGTTTTCATTAAAAAGTGAGAGTGACTGTTGACTAATACTAGCTAACTGGTGACTGTAATTTGATGACTTGTTTAACCGCACAAATCATCATACTTGTTGTAGTTCCAGATAAGTCAGCTATTTCTGGTTTGATTGATTTAAATTAAAACTTCAGACAGAGCAATGTTTGTAGATAGCATCACACCCCCAGGTAATATTGACGACATCAGCTGCAAGTATCAAGTCAAGAATCAAGTACTGCTCTTACTACTGCTACTATTCCTGTTAAAGGTGTTGTTTCCAGTCCTTTGAGAGATATGGTGGACACATTATCGCAATATTGTGAACATAATCAGCTACAAATACATGAACAGAACACTTAATCAAACTGTCCTCACATCGTTCTGTATTAAAGTTTGTTATGTTGTGTTTTATTGAAATACTTTTTAAACTTTTCCGAGTGCTTGAATCCAAAAGAGGCATGTACGATAATATTATGCAGGGGTGACCATGAGAAGGAGGAAGAGGAGGAGGAGGAGAAGCTGGTGTTGGGACAGCCCCTTTTCGAGTTTCTGTGTGTTCTCAGAGAACTCTCACTGCTCTGTCAGTCTGCCTCTGAGTCACTGACTGCTCATGTTTGGATTCTCATCACTCAAACCATATGGAGAGCAAGAGAAGGGAAATACAACCATTTCAAGGTAATTTTAGTCACAGTTTTGGTTAATACTAGGCAAATGCTGCTTTTTATGACACAGTGAGTCGATCCTGTAAAGTTGTAAAGTCAGTTGCTTAAGAGAGTCATGTGATATTATGGGCGCATTCTGTTTCTTTTGTATTTTATTGTGGCTTAATTGTTCAGGCTTTTGTCCAGATTAAAATTTCCAAACTTGAGTAACCTAACCTGAACCTGAAGTTACGTTAGACTAAATAAGTGAGAAGATAATGATTAATCTGCATCAATGGTCTGATGTATGACCACCATGAACTGTTGTCTGAACAAGTGTTTCTTTTATTATTTGTAGATCTTCAGGAGCTTGTAAGCACTGACCTCTGGCTCAAAGAACAACTCCATCTGGAGGGATTATGATTAACATTTAAACTGACCATGAAACATGGTCAAATAGTTCTGAAATATTTTTTTGGTTTAAAGCTTGTGTTTGTCAAACGATGATAAACAAACTGACTTCATGAACATTACTGAGTCAGAACATCAGTGAAGCAGCACAGAACATGGATACAACTTCTGAGACGGAATACACCTCATCCATCCCACCAATGTATACAGCCCCTCCCCCTCACAGTTTTCTGCACTTCTTCTCGGAGTACCTGGACAACTCTGTGATTGTGGAACATTACAATTACACAGGCAAACTGAAGAACCGCTGTGAGGGGCTGAAGCCAGAGAGCATCGTCTTCTTGGTGGTCTGTTTGCTCATTGTACTGGAGAACGCAGTGGTGCTTATTGCCATCTGGAGGAACAAAAAGTTCCACTTGCCCATGTACTATCTGTTGGGGAACCTGACCCTGTCAGACCTGTTAGCTGGAATCACATACATGGCCAACATCGTCATGTCTGGACCTAACTCTCTAAAACTGACCCCTCTGCTATGGTTCATCAGAGAGGGAGGGGTCTTCATCACCCTTGCGGCCTCTGTGATCAGTTTATTGGCCATTGCCATTGAGCGCCATGTTACTATGGTGACCATGAGGCCGTATCACGGCGCAAAGAAGGGGCGGATGCTGGCACTCATCGGAGCAAGTTGGGCCCTTTCAGGATTCTTGGGAGTCCTGCCCATTTTGGGTTGGAACTGTATGCACAGACTGGAGCAGTGCTCCACCGTCCTGCCCCTCTACTCCAAAAGCTACATCCTCTTCTGTGTGTCCGTGTTCACCGCAGTTTTACTGGCCATTGTGGTTCTGTACATAAGAGTTTTCCGTATTGTCCGCAACAACACACAGCGTCAAAAACTGACATACACTGGGAGTGTAAGGAAAGGTTTAGCCCGAAAGTCACAGAAGTACATCGCCCTCCTGAAGACAGTCACCATCGTTTTGGGAGTCTTCATTGCCTGCTGGATGCCCCTCTTCATCCTCCTGCTCCTGGATTTTGTGTGCCCTACAGGCAGCTGTCGTGTGCTCTATAAGGTGGAGTATTTCCTGGGAGTTGCCATTGTCAACTCCCTCCTCAACCCTATCATCTACACCCTGACCAGTAAGGACATGAGGAGAGCCATCCTGAGGCTGCTCTGCAGACCGTGCCTAATCACCAGTGATGGACAGGTGAAGAAGCTGGGCATGCCTTTCCTTGAGTGCAGCTTTAGTAAAACTGAAGTAGCATCACAGAAGTTAGAGGGTGGCCTGGAGACCACCATCTCCTCTGGAAATGTTATCACCACACCTGTGTCTCCAATAAAGACCCTCTACCCAAAACTTATCAAGTGATAAACCAAATTCAGAAGTAAATGACTGAATTACAAGCCACAGAAACACTATTATGATTAGACCTGTAAAAATAGTGGACTGTAAAGTACAGCGCATCAATTATGCAATGCACAAAAGTTGTAGGTGCAAACAAGATGTGAACCTAAACTTGTAAATGAAATGAATACCTAATTTGCACTGAAAATCAGTACCAAGCTATGAAGTAAAGTAACTGCATCTGAACAAATACAGACCCAGGTCAATTAATAGGCTGGTTCCTGGTGAACCAAAGTGGCTGTGTATCCCTTTTTTATATTTTGTATGCGTCTTTTCTTCATGTGTTGACACAGTGTGAAATGACAGCATCTGCACCAACCTGGATCTCGCAGGTCGAGCCCATGGTGGGTTCTTGATCATTTTGCATATTTCTTTAAAGCCTGTTTGTGGCTGTAGAAAAAAAGAGTACAGACATTTCATGACAAAAAATGCGCCTAATCTCATTTTAGTTAAATGTTTGAAATTACAATCTTCTGCTTGTTTGAAACATTTGATGCACTGTGGAAAAGTGGTTTGGGTTTTTCCCATTTACTTAAAGGTCACGGTGATTTTCTAGTTAGTATATAGCACCAATACTTTGTTTCTGTGTTCATCTGTGTGAAGTTAAAATAAACTCATGATTTCATATTTCTTGTATAATACATATTTTTGTTAAATTATTGTGTACCCATGATGATGCTATTGTCCAGACGGAACATGTGTATAGTGGCAGTGTATAGCTTGTGTTGTAAACGTTTTTTTTATAGTATTTTAAAGATTTTCTATCTCATCTGTTGTAAAATGTAGCAGCAACAAACTATTGTTCTTTTTATAAAAGAAATACATTTTTCCACTCAAGAGTCGGGTCATGTTTCAGGTTTATTTATTCTCCACCAGTAAAAGTGTCTGCATGCTTTAGTATGTCTCTGTCTATTTTTGCGGGGGACTGACTTCTTGTCCTTGAAAGAACAGTGTATGAAGAAGCTGCACAGGAAGTTGGCCTCCGTGTTTCACATCTGGTAATGGCATTGCCCTATATACCATGTTTTATTATAAGGTCATTGTACTGTGATGGTTTAACCTCACAATAATGCATTGATTCAGAATGTGGACTATCACTTTATGTTTCTCTACAAGCTCACACAGTTTTTACTGGGGGGTCCAATCCATATGCGCTTAAGGAATGGGATTATAGTTTTTAAAGGTGCACTATGGAACTTTTCTGGTCGAGGATTCATGGAGACAAGCCGGTGACGCCTCCAGATTAAGTTACAGCCCAATTCTAAGGAGTGCTTCCAGCTTCCAGCAAAAATGTTTATTATTTTATCCTATATCCAAGTTGTTTGTCAAAATAAATGAAAAATAAACAGTGTTGGGGAGTAACAGATTACATGTACCGGAGTTACGTAATCAGAGTACAAATTATGAGTAACTGTATTCAGTTACAGTTACTGTTTCAGTGAGTGGTAATTGGATTACAGTTACTTTGTTGAAATAAATGGATTATACGCCGGTATTTTCCTGTTTTCACATTTTGGGCTATATCCTTTTTTTTTTCAGTAATTCCACTCATGGCCAGAAACTAAACCAGATCTAAACTAGAGCTAAACCAGGACTAATCCAGGTCTAAAACAGTTTTAAATCAGGTCTGAAATCAGGCCTAAACCAGGACTAAACAGGACTAAAACAGGACTACAACAGGTCTAAACTAGGTCTAAACCAGATATAAACCAGGCCTAAAACAGGTCTAAAACAGGTCTAAAACAGGTCTAAAACAGGTCTAAAACAGGTCTAAAACCAGGTCTAAACCAGGACTAAAACAGGACTAAACAATGCTGCATGGACGTGTCTCCTCTTCTTCTATCAAGAATATTTTTAATACGGTTCAGTAAAGTCTGGGCTTTTTATTTTCTTTTAGCAGACAAAACATCTTATGTTACGATATCCTCGTCTTTGCTTCTCTACAGCAAATCAAGTAATCCAAAGTATTCAGATTACGTTACTCACTTTAAGTAATTTAATGGATTACTACATTACTACTACTACTGCGTTATGTAATCTGTAATCTGTAGGGGAATACATTTTAAAAGTAACCTTCCCAACACTGTAAATAAATAAATAAATAAATAAACAGAGGGCAACTTTTTATTAAGGTGATTAAATGTGCATTTTGTAACTTTTCTGGTGGAAGGTCTGTCAAATGCTTTTCTCTGTGGTGATGTTATTTGTCTGGAATGTTTCACAGTATGGTATTAAACTTTCTATCTTCCTGGAGATCAAACCAGGCCAAGTTACAAGTCAGAGCTGTGGAGAGGCGACCCCGCTCACAGTTAGAATGGCTATTTTTCTAGGTATTTTGAGCTATTGTAATGTAATAAATGTAAGGTTGAGCTGTTTAATGTCTTACTGTGGAACATTCCATGCTGAGCAATGACATCTCCATTGAAACAAGCAGGTGATGGACACTCCACCAGAAACAGTTACGCAATGCACCTTTAATATTAATAAATGCCTGTGTGATTTGCAAATGCTGCTAACCAGATAGATTCCATTAACCATTTGTGAGACCTCCCAGTTGTATTTGGCTAACTACAGAGGCTAACATTTACTTCTACTGCTTCTAAATGAAAGCATGACCATAGACTGTAGGCTGTAGATAAGTCTAATTAGCATGGCATACCTGGGTGGGCATGTTTTGCAGGAGGTCGACATGGAAGTAGGCTATGGAGATTGATCTTCCAACCAGATGGGACCACTGACTGTATAAAGAATAAAGATAAATTCTCTTTAGGTGGGACAGGACTGAAAATACAGTGTAGCAGTGGCCGAAACTTGGGCTATGCTGCCATCTAGTGTGGAGCAGCGCCCATTGTGAGTTGTTTTTTTTAATACAGAACTTGGCCATACATTTAGCACAGTCTAGTTCTGTTTCTGAACGCGAAAAAACTGCAGCATTTTGTAAATTAGCATTAAAAATTTATTGAATTTAGGCTGTTTGCGGGCAGTAAGACTGGTCTAAGTTTGTTGTTTACTTTTAGTTTTGTAATAATTGAATTAGATCTTACTATATGAATAAGTTGTACATAAATACTCAAATCCACAGACAAGATCTCACCTTAAACATTTTTATTGAATTTGGCTTTTTGCCAGATGAAGGCCTGCTCTGCTTTCGTTCATTCGAGGCTCTTTCAATATAAAGGTTTTTCTCCTTTCGGCACAGTTTGACGCATTATTGACTCTAGCAGGCGGCAGAGACATGCTTTTATTGTGAAGGTAAAGGGAGGCTGGTACATTGCTTAGTCATGGTGAGATACGGCTTTCCCCTCCTTCTTTCCTTCCTCTGTGGCGGACAGCTCGGCAAACTGCGATGGACGATCTGAGTTAGATTTCGTGAGTCTCTTTTGTTCCACGTTCAGTGTCATTACTATTTAAAACATTACGCACTATCATTACCTTATAATTACAGCCGTACACCGGGTATGTTTGTAGTCTTCTAATCATCGGGTAGGCGTACTAGTAGTAGCCTATTTCTATTATTAGGGGGTGTTTTGCTGTCAGCTTTATTTCCGACACCTTTATTCTCGAGAGTGCCACTTGTTTGTCATAAAAACTTGAGTGATATTTACTCGTAAGCAAAGGCATCAGGTTATTACCGCGCTGCAGATTTGGACAGTAGCGCAGCTAACAATTGTTGGCTCTAACGCGGCTTATTATTTTGCCTTCATATCTTAAAATAATGTCTGCACTATTGTGGAGAGTTACACAGTGAGTCTTGAGTCTTGAAGGGCGCCAATTCTTCCAAGCAAGTTTATGTAAGCAGCTACTGCCCTCTGGGTCATGTTTTGGTTGGAGAGGTTACTTCTAGCACCTTCAGAGTGAGTCACCCTTTTAACTGGGTTTGTTTCACTTTGAGTGGAAGGATTAATCTTTTTTGTGACAGGAATTTCTTTAAGTGTTGTTTGTTTAATTTTTTTGCTTATGTATGTAACCACAATCCCTCTAAAAAAAAAAAGTATCCAGTATTCTGAGGGAAGTAGCCTAATTATGCAACTCCTAGAAGTATTCACGGTAAATTCAATTAGTGTTGAGTATAATATATACAAAGCTACCAGTATCTCTCCACCTCTTTCCAAATGCCTCTCCAGGGAATTTCTGAATTATACCTATTGTGCTGAATAAGTAAAATTTGATTTGATAACTATAACTTTGTGCACTGATCAGTGGCTAATGTTTGTTTTTAGTCGTCTAACTGTACCCCATCTAAGGCTTGCTGTGGCTCTTATATATACTCAGTTTCTTTTCTTTAGACCACAAAAATTAGTAGCTCTTTAGTGTTTTCATCCCGTAAAGGTAGCTCACCGGAGTAAAAAGGTTGGAAACCCCTGTTCTAAAGTAATTTTGGACTCGCCTGTGTGTCAGTTTTGAATTTGCTGAGGACAAGTTGTGCAATATGTTCTATGAAACTATTTCACCCAGAAACCTGGAGCGAAAGCCACGGCAGTAAATCAAAGTTAGATCAGTCTGTGCTTTGTGTTACAATGGGCATAAATAAGGACAGACTTCCTGCTATTTTCTAATATGTAGACAATTTAATAGTTGGTACTAGTTTGTGAGGCATTTCTGTGTGTTCAGCTTATGACTAAGCTCAACTATTGAACTTCCTTATCATAACTGATGGTAATGATAACTCGTGGGCTCCAGATGTAGGATATAAGTTGTTATATAACTGTTATGTCAACCCATCACTGTTGCTGAATAACCCTGACTCATACTGACCACTGTGCTTGAGTGGTCTGGCTCTTTTTTAGAGAAACATAATCTACTTTTTCATTAGCTTTGTTTTGGATACATCAGTGCTGTACTCCTCAGTGACATCATCACCAATACAAGCTTTCACACAAATGAAACTTCATTGTTGCCCAACATTTGTGGAACCATGATTGGTACAGGAAAAGAGGACAAAAATAAAGGAAGTTGATGTAAAGTGTAAACTCACCCAGCTCATATCAGACCATGAATGCCAGTTTGATGATGACACAGTCCTGATTTCCACTTGATACAATTTGTTCCTCATACTCTGAAACCAAAAATAAAATGTATAGATTTTTCAATCTATTTCATTCCTTCATTTTTACTGGACTGTACACTGTGCCTACATAATAAAATTAATTTATTTGAATTGATGTTTCTCAACTTTGTTCCTCTCTCTTTGCAGTTGTTATCTGAACCAACTTCTGACTCGTAAACACAACTCTGTGAACAAATTCCTCGGCTGGTAACCTCGAGTAAGGTATCCTCTTCCACATTTGGCACGTGACCCTTTTTCACGGAGGAGTCAACAGACTCCTCTACCTCCTCCACAGTGTCCTTCATACTGCTCAAGACCATAACTCTTATGTTTTATCTCTTCAGAGAAGTTTAGGAAGATGTTTTTATAACTATGTTGGAACTGCTCTTGGCCACAAAGCCATGACTGGAAACTACCATGGATCCCTTCGGTAATGCCATAGTAATCACTGACTGGACTGTCTTGAACAGAACAAGGAAATGCTAATTGCCACATAAACAGGGAGTTTCATCAGGTGTGACTTTGCTTTCTGCCAGGCTCTTTTTATTTTCATAGTTTTAGCCAGTGCATGGTGCAAAGATGGCCTGCTGCACATCTCTCTGTTGTTGAGGTGGACACTTCATCGGTGGAGAAAGAGTAGGTCATGACACAGTGCCTGACAGAATGCAAAGCGCTGGTGACTCCGTCCACGCGCAATGGCCACCGTGTGTTCAGCTACACTCTGGAGAGCCACACAGCCGCTGCCTTCGGCATCATGAACGAGCTGCGCCTGGAGCGGCAGCTGTGTGACGTGACGCTGCGTGTGAGATACAAAGACCTGGAGGCTGTGGACTTTGTGGCTCATAAAGTGGTGCTGGCTTCATCCTCTCCAGTGTTCAGAGCCATGTTCACCAATGGTCTGAAGGAGTGTGGCATGGAGGTGGTGCCCATCGAAGGCATTCATCCTAAGGTTAGTCCATTCTGACCTTTTAAACTATCTTTTATTTCAGATTTTTTAATAATAATACAAATGTATATTGTACAATAGCACAAAAAGAGGTATTACAATTAAATGCTTTTGTTGTCATTTTCCATGACTTAAAAATTATAATAGAATTTTTTAAGGAAATTAAGAAGCAAAACAACAGATCAGTGTAGACTTTTTGAATTAATTCAAATGACCGTACTGTTCAATAGCCTCTCTCTGTACTTAGTGTTTTCTTTCATCCCCAGGTCATGGATCGACTCATTGAGTTTGCCTACACAGCCAGCATCTCCGTTGGGGAGAAGTGTGTGATCCATGTTATGAATGGGGCTGTTATGTACCAGATTGACTGTGTGGTCAAGGCCTGCTGTGATTTCCTGGTTCAGCAACTTGATCCCAGCAATGCTATCGGTATCGCTAACTTTGCCGAACAGATTGGCTGTACAGAGCTTCACCAGAAGGCCCGTGAATACATCTATTTGAACTTCAGTCAGGTAAGGAACTAGATTTTAAGGTTTAAACACAAACAGCATATGGTAAAAATTATCCAAATGTGTTTTTAACTGTTGTTTAAGTAATAACAGAACAGCTTTGTAAAAATACAAGTTTAATATTTTGGGCCAACATCGTCAAGTAAATAATTTTATTACTCCAGTTTATAAACCAGAATGGGATATTAGCTGAACTAATATCTTAAAAGCCAATAACTGATCCACCAAATGTTTTAATATCTCCGCTAATACCCAATACCAGTATCATATCAGTGGATCTCTAACACAGATATTGATAAAGATTTAGTTACCGAGGCGATACACATAAACAAAAAGCTTTTACATTTGTGGTTTATGACTTCAATTATTGATCGTTTTCCCTCTCCATGATGATATATTCAACTAGGTCATGAGTCATGAGCAGTGCGTACGTGGATGACCTGTGGTACACTAATACTAAAATGTCTGTCACAGTAAAACTACCAGTGAATGGAACAATTAAACATTTACGCTTGTAACTTGTACTCTGTTGGCTGTTGTGTCGTGTTTGCTATATTTACAGTTACCATCTAACTAACTGTTTTATAACATTTTGTAGGTTGCAACACAGGAAGAATTTTTCAACCTGTCCCACTGCCAGCTGGTTAACCTCATCAGTCGGGATGAGCTGAATGTGCGCTGTGAGTCTGAGGTCTTTCATGCCTGTGTGGCGTGGGTTCGCTACGACCGTGAAAACCGGAAACCGTATGTCCAGGCCTTGCTTCAGGCTGTCCGCTGTCACTCACTGACTCCAAACTTCCTGAAGACCCAGCTACAGTCTCTGGAGTGGGATCCAGAGTGCAAAGACTACCTAGCTCAGATTTTTCAGGACCTCACCCTCCACAAACCCACCAAAGTGATTCCCTGCCGTACACCGAAGGTTCCCCAGCTGATCTATACTGCAGGGGGCTATTTTCGCCAGTCCCTGAGTTACCTGGAAGCGTACAACCCCTGTACGGGAGCATGGCTGAGACTGGCTGATCTGCACGTCCCTCGCAGTGGTCTGGCTGCCTGTGTCATCAGTGGGCTCTTCTATGCTGTGGGAGGAAGAAACAATGCCCCTGACGGTAACATGGACTCCAATGCGCTGGACTGCTACAACCCCATGAACAACTGCTGGCTCCCCTGTGCTCCTATGAGTGTGCCCCGGAACAGAATCGGGGTTGGGGTCATTGATGGCATGCTGTATGCAGTGGGTGGGTCGCATGGATGCATTCATCACAACAGTGTGGAAAGGTTTGTTATTAAAGATGGCCGTTTGCAACACAGTTTAGTTTTGTTATTTGATCATCTAAAACTTCAAATGTCCTTAAATTATTCATAGTTTCAACTGCAGAGCTGCGTTTTCCTGAAATCAGAAGTTACACAATGACAGGAAAATGTGTTATGGTTAATTACAAACAGACCTTTTCAAAGGAGTTTTTGAATTCAAGCTAGAAATTCCCCAGACAACATTCCTCTGCCTCCCCCTTTTTAAAAGATCTGGCATAATATCACACAATATGGTTGGAGTTATACTTGAAATACAGTTTAATTAAGACATTATACAATGATTGCCCTACATCTTGAAGGTGATCAGTTGTCTCACTTTTTGCAGATATGATCCAGAGAAGGATGAGTGGCAGTTGGTGGCCCCCATGTTGACTCGTCGTATTGGTGTTGGGGTAGCGGTCATCAACAGGCTGCTTTATGCTGTTGGGGGGTTCGATGGAGCAAATCGCCTCAGTTCCTGCGAATGCTACAACCCAGAGAGGGACGAGTGGAAGTCTATGGCCTCTATGAACACTGTTCGCTCCGGGGCTGGTAAGCAAAGAATTATAATCATATAAATGCTGTGTGTACATCCCTTCTTCTCTGGTCTTCCCACTAGTCAAAATGCTGTCTTTACTTCTCTTTAGGTGTATGTGCTCTTGGAAATCACATTTTTGTCATGGGAGGTTATGATGGTACTAATCAGTTGAACACAGTGGAGCGCTATGATGTGGAAACTGACACATGGAGCTTTGCTGCCTCCATGAGGCACAGACGCAGTGCTCTGGGAGTCACTGCGCTGCACGGGCGCATTTATGTGTTGGGTGAGTTAAAGTACATGTGTGTGATTTGTTAATGTTGGTATCTATATATGACTGAATTTTACATTTCAACCTGGAGAGACTCAAACAGACACAAAGAGATTGTATTATCTTTATTGAATGAGTTACCTTTGGAAACTAAAACATGGCAGAAGACATTGGGATGAAGGGCGTTTGGGAGATATCTTTCCCCCAGGGCCTGAATGTGGTGGAGGTGGTAGAGGTGAGGCAGGGGAGAGTGGAGAGACGATGAGAGGATGAGAAGCTGAGAAGGGTGGTGGGGAGGAGGTGGGGCACAAACCAAAGCTGTGAGGCACCTGCATTGAGGGTTTTAATTGGGCAGACTCGGCGCCATTTGGACACGAGGAGGTGCGGCGAGCAACGGGGAAGAGTATTTGGAGTGAGGCTAAGGAACAGGTAAACTCCGGAGAAGCAGTGAGGTAAACGGGAGCGAAGTTATGTTTTCTAAGCAGAATTTACATTTTTATTTTAGTTTTCATAAACTGAAATGTGTCCAAAGTGCTGCATAGAGAACACTTAAATTGGTTGACTTCTAGTCTAGAATCTTAAATGCTGTGAAAAAATCTGATTCATTGTTGCTGTTAGTTTAATAATTTCATGTATTTGTTTATTCCAGGAGGTTATGACGGCAACACTTTTTTGGACAGTGTGGAGTGTTATGACCCTGAAAGTGACACCTGGGCAGAAGTGACACACATGACTTCAGGGCGAAGTGGCGTGGGTGTAGCCGTTACCATGGAGCCCTGCCCGAAGGGTCTGTCTCTGAATCAAGCGTCAGACGGTGAATGTGGCGGCTCGTCTCACACCGAAAACTCGGACCACTCCAGTCATGGCTCACACCAGCGGACACACAGACACTCATGAGCCTAGCTCCCACAACTCACTCCGTTTTCAGCATCAAAACATTATCTTTTGGCATGATTTTAAAACAATGCCTCAGTGTTAGTTAGTCAAACCAGACCATTTTCTTTCTCTTTCCCAGTGTTTTACAAGTTAAAATCTACCTAAAGGCAAACATGAGCTATAAGACCATTTCTTAAAACAAGGGTTAGCTGTAACCAGCCCTGCCCCCTTTACAGTGGTCCTGAAAAAAGAATTGTATGTTTAGTGCAAGTCCTTTATGAATAAAAAGGTTTGGGACCACTGGGTTTATAGAAGTTAAATGTCAGTGCAAGTTCTTTAAAAATGGCTCCCTGACTTGATAGGGACATAAGGGCTGTGTCAGTGGAGCCTGGGGGAATTGAAATGTCTTTGTAGCATTTGTCAGTATGGACACTTGTGTTTCAGAGTGCCATAAATAGGCCTGCGTGGGCATTAATCTTGTCAGTATATTGTTCGAAAGAGGTTGGCAAGGCATGAAAGTCTTTTGTGATGATGTGTAACTAATGTGTTTTTGAAATGTGAAATTTAAAAATTTACCTTTTTTTAGGTGATAACTCTGAGTTATTAGTATGTTGAGTGCCAATAGAGGCTGGTTCAGTTTGCTGAACGTCTTCATCCCAATGAACCATTTTTGCACACATTTTATAAACCTCAAAAACAAAAGCAACTGTATAGTGTATACATATTGTATACTAGTGGCAAAGTTGCAAAAGAAGTGTATTTCTAACAGCAGTTTAAGCTACAAAGGTTTCTTAGTGGTTTTTGTACACTGATCCAAGAAGTCTTGTACAGAATTTAAGAACTTTTTTTTATTTATTATTTCAAATCAATGTTTTCTTTTCCAAACTGATCTTAAGTCAACCTTTGTATTGCATTGGACTCTACTGGTGTGTTTTTGAGTAATTTGCATGTGGATGTTTGCAAACCCATTGTTTCAGCATAAAAGACTGGCTTTGTACAAACTGTACAGAAAGGTACAATGACACACTGTAAAGTAAAGATGTAATATTGTACTGAGTTTCATTTGGATATTTACGTTTTCTAATTAAGCTTAGACCACTAGATGGCGCTAAAGAGCTTATAAGTACATGATCCACAGTCTACAATAAAACCATAGACCGTAAAATGTATGGTTTATAAAACATTACATGTAATGCTTTATAAACTGTAGTGTAATTCGTATAACTATCACTCATTCTACGGCAACAAACCTAATAATGAAACATGCTGAAACAGAAGGTGGAGAAGATGAGATGAGGGTGTGGTCATCTGGTTATTTGGCTACCGGTAAAGCCACCCGACAGGTGAATGCCCAATGCCATTATTATGTAATTTCAGAGGAAACCACCGAGACTATGGGGTCTTTGCAATTTGCGCGTGATCCCACAGATCAACCCCATACTTTGTGAATATTAGGCCTAACTTAAAGCCCAAGGCCTTTTACAAGAAACTCAAAGGAAAAGCTCAGAGAAAATAACAAAGGGCACAACGCAATTAAGAAAACTACAGACCGGATAAACCTTGTCATCAAATTCATAAGTATCAGAAAATACATCACACATCCATGCTTAATTGTAGGTAAATGTCGCATTTTTTATGTTTTGGTTTTATTTTGAAAACGACTCTCGGAAGCTGTGCCCGCTCCTGCGCAGGGCTTCACACCGGTGTGCTGCTGTCCCGGGTAAGAAAGGTTTACCTGTGCTCACAGACAACAGCAAATCTTTCCCGGCTCAGGTAAGCGCACCTAGTTACGCCACAGTTTTTTATGAAAGAAATAGGCTGATTCCCTTTTCTCACTTGTGTAAAAAATAGTTTTTGTATTGTGGTATTTAGAATATTTTTTTACATTGTAAATTACTTTCTGTTTAGTGTCCACTTTTCTTGATGATTTCACGCTGTTTTGTGCACTCACTACGATGTTTGTTTCATTCTTTTATATTAATGAATCTTGAGGTTATACTTCTAGTACAAACTTTACTCTTCACCTTATGTTGTTTTGAAAAAAGTTTCACTACTGAGTTCACTGCTACTGAAATGGTGCACTCACATTTTAGTCAAGGGCAAACGTGTCGACGCTGTTAAAAAAAGAAAGAAAGAAAAAAACATCCCTCTGTTATTTCATATAGCTTAACTCTAAAGTTATTCACAGTGATCTTCAGTGGGCTGCAGTATTTAAGCCTCCATCACTCATCTCCCTCTTATCTCTAGGGAAGAGCAGCATCCAGGATGATCCCTGTGGGCGAGTTCAGAAACTTGGGCTCAGAGCAGAACCAAAAGTACAGGGTTCTGAAGCCATGGTGGGACGTGTTCTCCGAGTATCTGTGCCTTGCTATGCTCATGATTGGAGTCTTTGGGTGCACTTTGCAGGTACGTAATAAACTAGATCAGAAGCATCAGATGAAATGTAATAAGACATGTTACAGTATGTATTTACTATACAAAAATACAATTGCCATACAGTGAACAAATAGATTTATTTTATCCATTATATTTTTTCATGCCTAATATTTTATAATGATTATGATGATGATTATTATTATTATTATTATTATTATTATTATTATTATTATTAAATGTGACCAAACCGCCCAGCACATCTCAATTATATTTACTGACAATGACATGAAAGGGCCCATATTACGCTATCTGGTCTATGTTATAATGTTGTTTACTCAACAAAAACATACCTGGAGTTGTGTTTTGTTTTATTTACACAAATTTAACACACAAACCCTACATATTTAAAATGAGTTCTTCTCTTACTCAGAAAACACTCTGTTCCACCCTGTGATGTCATGTGTGTAATTGCTCCACTGTGTTTTTAAAATCCAGACACCTTCGGTCATTTGGATAACTTCAGCCCTGGATTGCCAATCTTTACTGAGTAAAAGTAAAAGGAGCAATTAACTTGAAAAATACCACATGACATCACAAGGTGGAACAGAGCATTTTCAGCTTTGGAGATGTAGACAGATTAATAATAAAGGATTAGCTAAACATGTGTGAATACACAACTCCAGGTGTGTTTCTGACGAGGTAATAACACAAAGCTCACGAGTCAATTTTGTGTAATGTAGGACCTTCAATGCTATTTCTGAATCATAATTTAGCTCTTGTCAGTCATGACATTACAACCTTATTGTTAATAAAGCCATTTTTAAAATAAAGTTAATAAAGCCAATTGTTATTATTGTTCATGATTTTGGTTTTAAAAAAGCAATATTTATGCACATGAAGCATTTGTTTCCTGTTACAGCTATTAAATAACAGCTAATTTTGCAGATCACCCAAGAGAAAATTGCCTGCCTGCCCAGCCACTACACCAGCCCTACACCCAACGCCATTGACTGCAGCCACATCAGAACATATGGAGATAATGACACACTGGAGACCCCTGACAACCCAATCATTGTGGAGGTTCAAGGTCGTAAAAATGGGCTAGACATCCACCAGTATGTGTTTGTGAATGCTTACTGCTACACAAGGTTTGTCCACTGGTTCGCCAAGTTCTTCCCCTACCTTGTTGTCATTCACACAATGGTCTTTATGGTGGCGAGCAGCTTCTGGTTCAAGTTCCCGGGGACCTCTTCTAAATTGAACTTTTCGTCTCCATTCTTGGGAAGTGCTTTGATTCCCCATGGACAACAAGGGCCTTGAGTGAAGTTTCTGAGGAGAGAGGGGAGGAAAAATTGGTGAGTTTGAGAAGGAACACTATTTCCAAAGACCCTTCAGAGAAAAATCGGACAGATGATGAGGAAACCGCAGGTCTTCTTCGCTCCTCATCGGTCAAGTCTAACCCAGAGAGAAAAGCTCCAGAGCCTCAGTCTACCCTCACCGCTTTGGATAAAAAAGAAGGAGAACAAGCTAAAGCACTGTTTGAAAAAGTGAAGAAGTTGCGTACCCATGTGGAGGAAGCGGATCTCTTGTATGTAATGTATGTGCTGCAAACATCACTAAAAGTCTTGAAGTTTCTGTCTGTTATGATCTACACAACAGTCCTAGTTCATAACATTCAGATTGTGGTGCGCTGCAAGGTGCCCCCCGAACTGACAGGTTTTAACATATACTGCTGTAACCATAACAAGGCTCCTCTTTTCTCAAAACTTGCCTACTGCTACATTTGCTTTGTTGGCGTCTATGGTCTTGTTTGTATCTACACTCTTTACTGGCTCTTCCATCGCCCCCTAAAAGAGTACTCGTTTGAGCAGGTCCGATTTGAGACTGGCATTAGTGACATACCCGATGTGAAAAATGACTTTGCCTTCTTGCTTCATCTTGTCGATCAGTATGACTCTCTGTACTCCAAAAGGTTTGCAGTTTTTTTGTCTGAAGTCAGTGAGAGCCGCTTGTACCATCTCAACCTCAACTATGAGTGGACGGCAAAAAAGTTACGCACACGTCTTGCCAAGAACTCAAGTAACCGGCTTGAACTGCATTTGTTAATGTTGTCCGGACTTCCTGACACAGTCTTTGAGCTTAATGAGGTGGAAGCTCTCAAACTGGAACAAGTAAAAAATGTCACCTTTCCTCCCAGTGTGGCTAAGTTGGATTCTCTACAAGAGCTGTCACTGATCTACTGCCCTGCAAAACTCCAACTACCTGCAATGAACTTTTTCAAAGAGCATTTAAAAGTGCTTCGTTTGGCCTTTGAAAGTGTGGAGGAGCTGCCTTTGTGGATGTACTCTTTGCATGATCTAGAGGAGTTGCACCTAAACGGTCCATTAAGCAATGAAGTGTCTCGGAGTACAAGTCTGGACAGCCTGAGAGATCTGAAATCGCTAAGAGTCCTCAGTCTTCGTTGTAACTTGACCAAAATTCCGACTAGTGTTGGAGATGTGGCATTACAACTGCAGCGTTTAAGCATCCACAATGAAGGGGGCAAGCTCCAGGCGTTAAGCAGTCTCAAGAAGCTAACTAGTCTCATGTCACTAGAGTTGGTTAGCTGTGGTTTGGAGCGTATCCCCAGTGCCATTTTTAGCCTGGCTAATCTCCACGAGCTAGACCTGAAAGAAAACAGACTCACAACTGTGGAGGAAATTCTCAGTTTACAACATTGCCAGCGTTTAACCACACTCAGATTGTGGCATAACAAAATCACATACATCCCAGATCACATTAGTAAGCTGCACTCTCTGGAGGTTTTGGATGTCAGCTGGAACAAGATCCGAAAACTTCCCTCTCGACTTTTTTATTGCACCAAGCTTCGGCATCTAGATGTGTCACACAACCAGCTCACCTCGCTACCCTCAGAGGTGGGCATCCTTCAAGGGCTTCAGTTCTTCTCCGCTGCTTTTAACTCTTTAGAGAGCCTTCCAGAAGAGCTGTACTCATGTAAAAGACTGAGGACTCTAGCTATAGGGAGCAACTGCCTGTCATATCTCAGTCCTAAGGTGTCCAATCTAACACAGCTTGTGCGGTTAGAGCTTAAAGGAAACCGTTTGGGGGCTCTGCCTGTGGAGCTAAGGGACTGTCCCCAGCTGGCCTTGAGCGCGATCATAGCAGAGGACAGTCTCCTGGAGCAGTTGTCCACAGAGGTAGAGGAAGAGCAGCCGCAAGACGAAGTCAATGGAGATAATATTAGTCAGTGATTCAAATTCAGCCTCTCGTTGGGTTTAATTAAGTTTTACATATGAAACAAAGGGAATTGCATAAGTTTTAAAGTGCGAATCATTTATATTGTTTTGTTACATGTTTTTCTATTGAAAGTGTAACATTTATTTATTTGAAAAGATGTCATGGTTGTAAGCAATCTTAGATATCTGTTATATACGTGTCTTAAAAGGCCCATATTGTGCTATTTTCTGATCTATGTTATCATGTTGTTTCCTCATAACAAACATATCCCAAGTTGTGTTTTGTTTTATTCACACGTTTAATACCCAAACCCTGCATATTTAGGCTGAGTTCTTCTCCCAGACTGAAAACACTCTGTTCCATCTTGTGACGTCATGTGGTAATAAAGGAAAAGCTCCACTGTGTTTTTAAACTCCGATCACCTCCACTAGAATCATTTGGATGATTTCAGCTTGAGAATTGCCACTCTCTACTGGAACAAAGGGAAAAAGTAGCTAGTTAACTTGTTGTTATTTTAACAAGTCCGACCACTCCTCTTTGCTTAACCTGTGGGGCAGGTTTGAAGTGTACAGAAGAGTTGTTCTCATTGCACAGTCTCGAGTTTCTCCCTCAGGCCTGACAAAATCGAACAAAGCTTCCCAGACACAGTATTATGACTGGACAGTGCTGCTTTGTTTACAGATCCTCACATCTGATTTAGTTTTTGGTATTCAACTGAACTTGTTGTTGTTATGTTGTTATTTAGCTGAAATGTAATACTTGAATATTTTTGTTCAAAGTTGTATAGATACTTTATGGTTTGTTTTATATGCTTGTTCTCCTCCTGTGTTTTTGTAAAGACCTACTGTGTCCCATGTCAACTCTAACAGGTTACAGAGCAGGTAGATCATGTCACGACCTGTGTGAAGAGAAAACGTTTGCCAGAGTATCATGGGTGTTGTACCATGGAAATTTCCAACGGCAATCACAGTCACAATGCCAGGTCACTTATTGATAGTTAAATAATTTTGCTGTCAGTGGCTGTGGTGGCTTCAACAATAACAACTAAATAAATGCACATATTTGATAAAAGATGGCCTTTTAACCTACTTTATCATGTGTGTCACTTGGTAATAACTATAAAAACACATGAGTCTGTTTTTAAAATATTCTGTTCACAATTACTCATGACGATTTGACTAGTGTCTGCTCCAGGTTATGCAAGATTCATTTCATTTACAGTAACAAGTACAACTGATACCAGAATTAGTCCCTTGTGCCCTTGAAATGGGCTGTTATGTGCTGTAGTTTTTGGCTTTGGGGGAAAAAAAAAAAAAGAAAGAAACCGAAAAGTGATACAGTTTTCAGTTTGTCAGGTGTGTTTAGGCCTTGTGGTCTGATAAGCGGTCTTCCCCTTTTTGGGTGGTGAAGGAAGAAGTGTCTTTGCTGACTCATGTTCACATACCTGCTTTAGTCTGTCCTGAAGAACAAACATCCAGGAAGTATTCGTGCATGTGAAGACACACCCAGGTTAGTTTGCACTGGAGGTGGTGAGCTCGACCTAGTGGTTGTTTTGGAAAAATATCTCTCTAAGCTAATGTGTACTTTTGCAAATGTTATGAAAAAAATACAGTAGGTTACTTTGTTAAACACATTTAATGAAATGTCCAGCAGGCAAATAGCTGAACTCTATCTCCACAGTAGGCTTGTAAAGTTGGCCTGTTGCTCTCAAGCAAACAAAATACCCATTGTGTCTTGAGATCTGTGTGCACAAACATCAGCAATCTGTGCCACTGTTACCTATAGGCCTTAACAATGCCTCTTTCAGCCTGAGCCTCAGTTCACTTATCTCTTTGACCTTCAGAGCACTTCTCAGGAGGCATTCTTTTGTAGAAGAGCATCTTTCAATATCACCTTGGGTTTAACAATATATTTACTACAATAAACTATAGAGATAATCATTTGTCAGAATAAGAATTTTTAGATTTAACATTATTGTCTTAAAGGTTTGTTGTTAAAGGATTTTTATAAAGGAAACACTATTACAATGTACGGTAGGTGATACAGTCCATGATACACAAACACACATGGTGACTGCAGCTTCCTGAAAATAACACCAACAATATAAATTTCAAAGCGTTTATTTTGTATTCCATCTTCAAATACCAAAGTGAAAATCACTTGTTTAAAAAATCTATATAAATAACATTTTAACAAACACAATAAAGGCTATTTACAAAGTAACAGGAATATTTAATCTATTCCACAAATAAATATTGGTAAAGTTAAGATATGTCTAGTTCAGAGTAACAACTATGCAAAGCAATTGTGCACACCATGTCAAGTTTTGTCAAAATGTAAAAACACAATGGATTAACTGTTACACAATAGTAATACTACACAACAACTATCTACAAATGTGCTCTCCCATGTGCTAGGGAAATGTATAAGGTGCCTAAATTGCACTGTGCAAAAGAGGTGTCCACTGTAGCCACCATCCACTGAAAATAAGCTGCCAAGATAATATGTTCTGTCACATATTAACGCTGAGCCACTATTAACAAAAACACAGCAATTAATTCAAGTCACCAGGATGCGCATGTAAGTTTGAGGGCTAATTGTGGATATGAGCAAAGAGTAGATCTACCATGTCAGGCACACGGGAGGCTCTGGCTACATCTACTGCTGTCTGCCCGCTGTTGTTGGCATGCTTCAAGTCAGACCGAGGCGCAAGAAACGTCACCACGTCTCGATGGCCTTCACGAATAGCAATGTGTATAGGCAAGGCTCCATTATTGTCTGCTACGTTGACAGAAGCCCCATGCTCCACCAGCACCCGCAGTGTGTCCAGAAAACCTGTGCGAGCGGCATCATGGGCTGGTGAGATCCCGTGTTTGTCCTGGAGGTTGGGGTTTGCTCCTTTTTGTAACAGCAGACAGGCAACCTTGGGGTTTCCCATCATCATGACCTGTACATGAAACCACAAGAAACAAAGAGAATCTATGTAACCAGAATGTTAAGAATAGACATAGAAGAATAGTCTAAACAAACCATTTCAAACCCTTGTAAATGCTCCTGCTATAAACCTGTGCAAATGAGTAATCACATAAGCCAAAGGAGTCTAAATAATAATAAAATTTCTATTATTTGGGTATGCACAGTGATTTGATAATACAATAGTTATTTAAAAAAAGTATTTATGGATCCTATGGTTGTACAGGCCATAGGTTAGAGCTATTGTTGTGTGTATGCAAGGCGCTAGACTGAAGGACACAGCAAATTCCAAGTAATTTGTTGTGGTTTAGTTTAAGCACTGTGTTGTAATGTAGGCCATCATCTAGACTAAGGCCTATTTGAATAATAAGTAAAAATTTTATGACATATTTCTCACCTGAAGAGCGGTCCTGCCAAATTCATTGCGAGTGTCAGGATGTACCCGGCATTCGTCCAGCATCCTCTGCACCTCGCTCGTGTTTCCTTTGGCTGCCGCCGCCGTCAAAGCTTTACCGGCATCCATCTGGCTCAGGACCATTCTTCACTGTTTAAGGACACATGTGTAAAATATAAATACGATAGAAGTTAAACTAGCACCCGGTGCTCTGACAATGACAAAGCGGAGAATAAGAACGACATATTTTGCTCATAAACTTGCGGTGGATGACGCCATGATATCGGACTAAGCTATTACTAGCGGAATGCTATTCTCTCTTAAATAATGATAATAGACAGAAACACATTTGTGTTTGGCTGAACGGAACACACACTAGATGGTTGTAAAATTCACGAAGACCTGCGTTTTCTATGAAGAACCGTACAGTAGTGTTACCTTTCAAGTTTATCCGTATTCGCGACGTCGCCAGGATTCGTGACCCGTTGACTCAAAAAAACAGTAGTTTTTGAAACAAAACCAGAGCAAAAAAGTTTATAAACATTAGAAAATACATTTGCGCGCTGAGCTGTGCGCCGCAGTCTCCAGTCTGGCACATACAAACACTGGGGCAAATAGTCGCTGACCAATCACAGCTCGCCTGGGGGGCGTTGTTTCTCCATATTTGGTTAATAAGGCGGGGCTACAACTCGGGTTCTACACTATCACTGTGGCAACAGCAGCTCTGCACCAATCAGAGCGCGCAGCGCAGAAAGCGGGCGATTCATATACGTTGAAGTCTTCAAAGGCAGCTCATTCACATTTCTGACCTTTGGTTTTAGGTCCCCTGAGCCAGACGTGGAAAAAAGGCGGGTGTGCGCTTCATTTGGGCGGAATTTACATACTCTGATGTTATGTTACAGCAAGAATGACTACAATGTTAGAAAAAGAGCTTTATGGTGTTTTTACACATGCACAAACACATACAATCACATAAAATTTACAATAATACACATAATTAGATGTGAAATATTTGTTTTCCTACATTCCAATAGGTCTATTACTATTAAAATCAAACTGCAATAAACGTACACACATAGAGCAGTGAAATGAAATATAAAGACATTCTTTTAATTCAGTTCTTCATTCTATAGTGCAGGGGCCAAAGGCGATTTAGGTGTAGATTCATTACAGTAATTCTACACATTTGTCCGCAACTGATAATCTAGAAAAGAATAAAATATAACATTAGTACAGAATATTTTTTGGTTATTTTGCTGTAGTAGATTACTTATTTAATCATACCTCCACTTTGTGTGATGTAACGAACCCATGGTAAAGCCTGATAGCCACTCTTTTCTATAATCTTCATGTATCTGACCTGCAAGCAAAAAAACAATGCGCATATAAAATAATAGTCTTCTGCCCTTCCCACAATCTACACCCCAAAGATAAACAAAACATATTGTTGAACTTATGACACTGCGTATTTCTCATTCCTCTTTTTTTTTTTCATTATTTTTACCAAAGCCCAACTCCTGTAACTACTGTGTGCAAATGCAGAACCTAAATAAAAATGGCAACAGAAGAGGGCTACCTGTATTCCTGACACTGTAAAGTAGGGGATTTCAAATTTCACTGTTATGGGAGGTTTGCCTTCAAGCTCATCATTCTCCACACTGGGCAGACCAAAATGGGCTCTCATCAGGAACTCCTTGCCCCCCTAAATAATACAAAAGCGTGTACAGTGAATTAAAGCTACATTGTTGTGCATATTATCAAATCAATTTATGTCTCACTTACAGGAAAAGACTTGATGGTCCAAACCACCAGATTCTTCTCTGGGACATATTTGGCGTTTCCTGTGCTGGTTTTAAACTTGGGTGAGTCAGCGTCACTTGGTACTGGTACCCTGACCTCCACATTGTTTGCAACGGACTGCTTTTTAAACTGTCCCTTTGCCTATAAAACACAAAAACATAAACTTTTACCAGTGGTGGAAGATGTGCTAATACAGATAAGCAAAAAAATATTCAAGTAAATGTATCACATGAAAAAAGCAACTTAAGTAAAAGTGTCTGTTTAAAAAAATAAAAAAGTATTTTGTCCATATTTTGAGCTATAAGGCTTCAAATGTATTTATTTTGATTAAGATTTGTGCTGAATTTTGTTCAGTAGAAACAACCGACTCATTTGGCTTTTTTTTTTACCTGTTTTTATGAGTTTATTTTTGTTTCCTCAAATTATGAATGTATTAAAAATAAACTCCTCGGCCCTTTCAACAGCAATACGTCTACTTTTTAGTTCTGTTTCAAAAATGTAGTTCAGTAGAAAGTAGAGATACTATCTCTCAAATATAGTGGAGTATATTTAGATACCTAAAATGTATAAAGTATTTTACTACTTTTACTTCATTACCTTCCACCACTGACTGTTACACACAATACGGGACTATTAGATTTTTTTCTATATTTTCTTTTTTTTATTTCTGTAATAAAAAACTGAGAATTGACTGTACCTTGACCATGATTTCCACTCTACTGTGAGAAAACTTTTCAATGACTGATTCAATCCATATTAATGGCTTCACCTGAAATGAAAATTACTATTATACGGTTGTAATATTTTGAATACCCATAGTTGTAAAAAATTGAATTGAACTAACATGTGTATTAATGCGGTAGGACATAAGTTCAGACTCTCCATCTGGAGGAATAAAGGAAATTGTGCGGTCACTTTCAAACCGTGACAGTCGCACACACTGGTGAAACTTCACATCTTCCATCATCACAGTCTTTCCTTTGTCTCCTGTCAACAAACAAATCATTAAACCATAATTAAAATACCACTGCATACATAAGACCAGGGTGGAAACAACTTACGTCCAGTCAAGGCAAAAAGCACTCTGTCATTGAGCCCTAGCCTTAGCTCAGGCATCCCAGACAACATGGTCTTTAGTTTGATGCTGCCCACAATGTCACTGCTCATCACACTGCCATTTGCATTCACCTAAACAAATCAATGGAACAATATCATAATATGTTAACAATTAAAAATGAAAATATGATCCCTGCTAGATTCAAGTACACAAAGAGTCTATAGTTCTTTATTTGTCATTGTATATCCAAGTTGTATAGCAAAATTACGTGGCTCAGATGGATGGTTTTACATTTCAGAGATTATTCAAAGAAATTAAAATCTAAAAATGTTGCAACAGCAATTGCAAATTTGCTACAAAACAAGCAACTGAATCCCACAATTAGAGCATCTACAATAGAAAGTAGGCCTATTCACATATTTCCTGTTTCCTATTTGACATTTTTCACCATAAAAAAGATATTTTATGTAGGTAGTTTATTTTTGTACCAATACTTACCAGTACATTGATGGATTCGATGACATCAATAAACACCTCATTCTTTTTGTATTTTATGCCCTCCGACCTCCAAGAGACTGCATTAGTGACAGTAGTAGGAACTTTGCTCTTTGCAACCTCAAGCTTTGCACCTTCTTGTGTAATATATCTGAAATGTAGACACAACGGAGTTAAATGAATTAGGCATGTCATTTCTAGTTTAAACCATAATTTGTTATTTGTTTTCATCCGTGTTACTCACTCCTGTAGTATTTTGCTGTCAGTCGTCTGTGGGAAGCCAAAATCCATCAGCTCATCCAGAAGCTCGTACACAACCACAAAATTGTCCTGAATGCTCTCCTCTTCCAGTTCTTTAAAGTACTCTGTGAACACCTACAGATTGCACAATAATGAGTCTAATTGCTTCTGACAACAGTCACGCAGCATGACTTACCTCAACGAGTTTGTAGAGAAATGAATACACAAGGGAGGCGTTGGAGTTTTTGTTTGTTGTAGCCACCACTGGCAGACCATGTTAAGGTGAACATTTGCAAATTTTCTTTCTCCCTAAATGTTAAATTATTCTTAAGATGTTCATAAAAGAGGATACAGTAGAGATTGGTGTGTTTGATCCACATAAAGTGAACGTTTCCATGTGACAGCACCGGACAGAGGAGCCCTTCCTCTTCATGCTGCATGAGTAATGGTATGAAGTGGTCAATCTCAGCCATATCCACATCTCCTTTGTAGTTTCTGCAGATCAGCACCTGTTTACAGTGAAAAAAACAATGAAGCTTTAAGTCTACACAAAGGCATAATCAGTGTTGGGAAGTAATTGAACACCTCTGAGTCCCTGTATTCTGGTACAGTTACTTTTTCATTTGGTGGTATTCAGAATACAGTCACTTTTCTGAATTAAAAGGCTTTGAATGCCACAGTATTAGTAAGGAAAAAAGAGAACACAGCTCTTTTGGTGAATGCATGTGCAATTTTCATCTTAATAAGGCATAAATTAAAGGATAACAAACAGAGCAACATAAAATAAAGCTGTCTGTAATTATGTCATTTGTCTATTTTTTTTTTCTTTACAATATAATATAATGCAGCTATAGTATTTTTGGAATACATTACAAAATACATTCAGATATTCAGTATAGTGTAATTAACTAAGTATTCTTCCCATCGCTAAGCATAATAACATAGTAATAACAGCTGACATAATGGCACTGAAGTCTACAGTTTCTGTTTACTTCAGCCACAAAGACCTCCTTTGTTTAAACCACCTTCCTTTGTCAAACAGTGCTTTTTGCTGGTTGTCTATGATTGCTTTTTAAAAAAGTATCACCAGAGGATGACTACATGCTGAAATATGCCCGAGAAAAGGTCAACTGGAAGCCATGTTGCCAACAAATTATCTTTGTGTGTTTATATGCGTCACGTAGGCCTATAGGCGTGTAATAAATTGTACCACGTGGTGGTTCATTAGTTAATAATTGTGTGGTAAGCTACAGAGTTAATGATAAGCTCAAGCATCTACAGTAAAGGGCCATGAAAAACTATATATTTTGTGTTAAAAGTAGGCAGACCGGAAGTAGACATTAAAAAACGACCAATGAATGAAACTGACGCACTGAGCTGATTAATGTTTAACAGGCAGAGAGCAGAGTCATTAAAGTTTAAAGTTAAAACAACATTTAAATATTACAGCCAAATGATACAAACAATCCTTCCAAAGTGACACAAAGTACTACAAAATATCAGCTAAACATTATTCGTGCGTCGTCAGGTAGCAAGTGCGTTACCTTCCCCTTCAGGTCCAGCACAAAAATAGCTGAGGCAGACATCGTGTTTGCAGAATGTGTCCACAGTCCGCACGTTTAGAAATCGATGAATTAACCTTCACTCAGAACTTTCAGTAAGAGTATATAATGTATCCATATATTATATACTATTATTATTTATCCGTAACTTCCGTAAGTATCGCGCAGGGTCTAGGGCGTCTGTTCCTGAAGCAGCGGTGACGTCACGACGCCCAGGTAAAACATTCACCAAAGGACAGCTCACCTGAACAAGTGGTGTAATACCCAGTTTACCCACAATGGGGCAGCAGAGATCCAGAAATGAAATAAGGCAAACGGTCGTTTTGCTTTTGCTTGTGAGGGGATTGTCCATAGGCGTGCGACTTTTATTTACAAATGAAATTGGGCCAGCTAATGTAACTTGTAGGCCTAAGGTATAACAATATAATGGATAATATTTGAAGAAGCTCTGCATTGTTAAAGACTTTCTTTCTCCTGCATGCCTGTCACTAGTCACGTGCGTTTGTGTTCTTTAATCCATAAAGCTCAAGCACATGAACATACAAACCCTGTTGCTCAGATTTAGTTCTCCTTTACATAGCTTCTTATCAGCCATGTGGAGTGATAAACTGATTAAAATAATCAGTAATAACAGTTGTAAACCCTGGTGAAGAGCATGTGTTTTTCGTGTTATAATGCAGTTAAATCTAACACAGCACAAAAAATCACATTTAACATGCAATGCACCAAATAGAACCCAAATAGAACTCTATCAAATACTTTTTGTTCACAGTCCACAGTGTAAATGGAATAGTTTTATAGGTTTAAACACAATATCTCTAACTGTATCAATTTATGTGAGTTGCTGCTCTCAGGGTCACAAAGGCCAAGCTCAGTATGCAGTATCTACAAAAAAAAAAAGAGAAATTAAATTCTGTCAACTGGACAAAAATGTTTGACTGAAGACATTTCATAGCTCATCCAATCTGCTTCTTCAGTTCTGGATCTACAGAAACAGATACTGGTGAGACGTTTTGTGATGCACTAAGACAAGAATTTCTGACATATGACATCCCGCAGAGAAATGTCCACTTATACTTGCACAACTCTGCCATGAGTATCTGCTGCATCCTTTGGCCTTTTTCCAGCTTAACTCCTTTGTAGTTTGGTTCAGGGACTCTGGTCTTTGTTTGTTTGGCCTCACGTTGTTGGGTGAACAGCCCATTGTCTTTGCTTTATCATGGGCACACTTTGGTAACCTGACAGGGGAATATTTATCCTATATCCATCAACTCCTTTGGCAATTTGGTATGGCCACTCCTTTTTGCTTACGTCTCAGTGGTGTGAGGTACAACTCCACCTTTCGTTTACCATCTGGCCAATGAGACGAGGTGGATGTGCAAATGTAAATTGAGTGGTGAGTGGAGCAGGCAGCGTTGCAACAGGTGTCTTGTGTCACTCAGGTGCTTAGAGTATCATCCTTTGCCTCATGGGGGTAGCTCATGAACAGACTATGATACACAAGGGGGGTAAACAAAGTACTTAGAATGCGTCTATTTGACAAATTGTCAAAGTGCACACTTCCAAGTGGGTGGAATGAATTTTAATGGAATGTGTCAATACCGGCTCAACAAGATGCCTCATCCTCCCAGAGGAGCCCTGGAGTGTGTAGTTTCAACAATGGGTCATTCATATCAAATAAAAATCTGTGTTGTCGTGCTTGCATGTGTAAAATCAGCCTTTGTCAAAATAACTGAAATGACCCACATGTATTTGTAATGGAGTGTGCTGCAGTAGACGTAAATTATTCATAGCATGTATTGAACTAACCAAATGTTATGAAAGAGGCTCAAATTCAATGACATTTTATTTCCACAAAAGATACAACACAAAACAGCAGAATGAATTGTGCCAAGGTAACGTGGACAGCTTAAATCTTAGCACAAAATAAATAGATTGTCAATGAATGTACACAATGCTAAAATGAGCTGTGTGAGAGTAATCGGAATAGCCCTGCAGTAGTACATATAAACTGGTGAACTTAAATATGTTGTGCAGGCACAGTTTAGTGCATCTTCATGTACAAGTGTAAACAGAACAAATTTAATAAATAACAAAACTATTTACATCTTATTTTGATTACAAATATAAAAGGCCACATCTCAAAGCAAGTTTACAATATATATACATATTATTTACAGTGATATATAGAATTGCAAATACCATATATATATATATATATATATATATATATATATATATATATATATATATATATATATATATATATATATATATATATATATATATATATATTATATATATATATATATATATATATATATATATATATATATATATATATATATATATATATATATATATATATATATATATATATATATATATATATATATATATATATATATATATATATATATATATATATATATATATATATATATATATATATATATATATATATATATATATATATATATATATATATATATATATATATATATATATATATATATATATATATATATATATATATATATATATATATATATATATATATATATATATATATATATATATATATATATATATATATATATATATATATATATATATATATATTCAGTACAGTTTCTTCAAATATTCGCCATTCTTCATTCTGGTCCAAGCAGCAGCCATTCAACAGTAAACAGATTAGGTTTAACTCCACCAAAATTATATAGACATAAAAAAAGTCACTCAAAATGGCTTGTTCCCGTACGAAGATTGTAAAGGTAGTAACAGGTCGGCTCATTAAGATTGTGGAGTGCAGTATTGAAGGCACACAACAGTGAGACTTGCATAAGGCTTTTTGAGTGAAACCAGCTGAACAAGAGCAACAAAATGTTAATAAATATCTTAAAATGTAACTTTTTTGTTGAGGGTCAGTCACCTGGTTGTTTTTACATATATATGTATATATGTCATTACTCTTTGTGGAATGTTTCACAGTATGACATTAAACAGCTCTTCCTTACATCTGTTAAAATGTAGGTGGTTTTGTAGCTCAAATATACCAAAAAAAGGTCTGAGTGGGATTGCATCTCCAGAGATCTGACCTGTAACTTAGTCTGGATTGGTCTCCATGACAACCAAAAGGTTTAAAGCCACACTGTGAAACATTCCTGGTAAAGCAAAGACATAACACTTTCATGGACAGGTTAACCTCCATTTGACAGACCCTCCACCGGAAAAGTTAAACGTTGAAACAGTTTCCTGACATTGGCCTTCATCATAAAACAAAATTGCACATCTTCTCCTTAAAACAGCCCCAAGTGTCTTTTCTTCAGTTTGTTTTTGGTTTAGACAGTATTGACATCAGAAGCATAAGCCTGTAGAATGAGGTCAGCTTGCACGGAACTTTCTTCCTTTTTAAGCAGCACTAGAAGAAAATGGCTTGGCTTCTTCATTTGTAACCACTGAGACCTTCATACAGCGTTGCCATCACGCAACATCCATGTCTTCCATACTCAGCATTGTCCTCTGCGTAAAAACAACAAAATTAGCAACAGTTCTAAATACCTGTAAGTATAATTAAAGGTGCACTGTGTAACATTTCTGGTGGAGAGTGTGCCACTTGCTTGTCTCTATGGAGATGTTATTGTTTTGTCTGGAATCTCCTGATATGGCCTTAAACATATTCATCTTGCTTTTACTCAGTTCCAATTTTTTGTTGCTGAATTTTAAATACCATAGAATTTCTCAAATTTCTCACTTTGAATTTTTTTTTTTTTCAGAATTTTAGTTGTTGAAATTTTAAGTGTTCAAAATTCACTATGAAAAAAAAACTAATTTTAAATATTGAGCACAAATATTTTCAAGCCCACAAATTCAACAGTCAAAATTACGAGTGTAAAATTTGCAGTAAAAAAAAATTGCAGCAAAAATCCAAGATGCCAAGGCAGAAGCAATCGATACAAAGTGATGTGAGCTAACTTTATAACAAGCAGGATCAGAATTAGCTTAATCAAAATCTCGTCTTTTTATTCCTTAAGCGTAAACCCCACACACAGATGTGAACGGCCAATTTGAGGGCTAGAAAATACTATGTTCTGAATATTTAAAAGGGGAAATTTTTATTTTGAATTTGAAACATACTGAAAAAGTATACTTAAAATTTCTGCAATTAAAATTCAGAATAAAAATAATTCAAACATCTTTTTTCAGAGTTAAAAAATTCAAAGTGAGAAATTCAGTGGTATGTAAAATTCAAAATCAAATGAAACAAATGATCTTCTGTAGAGCTCGCCTCTCCACAGATCTGACATCTAACTTTGCCCTGACTCCGTAGAGATAAATAAGCGTAACACCATACTGTGGAACATTCTACGCAGTGTCTCCATGGAGTGAAGCAGGTAACAGGACCCCTACCAGAAAAGTAACAGTGCACCTTCAGGTATAAAGAAATCAGGCAACTTTACCTCGGGATAGACGTAGCCCTGTGAAGTGTTTTGACAAATGTGCACCTCGTCCTCGGTAGTTTTCTGATACACTGGGTTGACGAAGTGGATAGTATTGGTGTTCTTTAGACGCCAGTTTCTCCACAGCAACACAGCACCAAAGATTAACAGTGACATGACCACTACAAAGAAAACACAACAGTTAGTGGGGTGATTTTAACAGATTGTAAATTGCCATTTTAAAATCATAACTTACAAATGGGTACAACAATGTAAACAGCAATAGGATGGGAGGACTCATCTTCAGTGGGCGTTCCAGACAATTTGTTATTCACTGATCAAGCAGAAAACACAAAATAAATAAATAAATAAATAAACCACAAGCAATATTTCATTTTATCACTGAAAATGAAAAGTATCTTGTACCGTGTTCAGTTGCGAGTAGCTTAGGTGTCTTTGAAGTTGTAGTTTGCGGTGGAGCTGCAGTTGAAGTAGTAGTTGTAGAAGTAGTTGTGGTTGTGGTTGTAGTAGTAGTAGTAGTAGTAGGCTGAGGTGGAGCTTGAGTGGTGGGCACTTTAGCTGGTGGTGCAGCGGTGGTCACAGGAGGGTTAACTGGACCTGTAAAATTAATAGATTTTATTATTTTTATTCATTGATTTTATTATTTTTAATCATTTTTATTTAGTTCCTGACTTTTTAGAGTTAATTTTTGATATGCAGCACTTTGAAATTCTCTTGTTTATTTAAAATAGTGCTATATAAATAAAGTTGGATTGGATAAGGTAAAACATGATTTACATTTTGACAGTTTATTGTTTAATTATTAATTATTCTTACCAACACACTTCCTGTTACCGGCAGCCAAGGTCATGTGATCAGGACATGCACATGTGTACTGGGGGGAGCGGCTGTTAATGCGAGGGGCAGGGAGACAGAGGAACTCACAGCCTCCATTTCTGCTGCTGTTCATTTGGCACCAGTTTGTTCCTACAAAGAAAGGAAAATGTATAATGTTATTGTTTGAATGTCATTGAAGTATGTTTAAAGTTATCAGAAGCCATAAAGATTATTTTAGTTAAAAAGTTACAGGGTACATAAGAACTGGCTGTAAATTAACCCACAAAGGCCACATGACCTGCAGTACAGGCATGTGAAGAAGCTATAAAATTCATGCGTTGCTAGGAAGGTGCATGACACTTCCTATTCAGATAATATTGTTTTCTCAACTATAACAATAAATAACATACAGCTAGTGGTCTGGTTGAAGTTATAAAAGCATTATCAGTGCAAAATACATTGTTAAAATCCCATAAACTAATCATGAACAAGGGAGAAGCTGAATATCTCAAATTTAGGCCATGAGGGGGATTTTTGTGGAGTGAACACACTATATATATCCAGAGATGAATATACCGTTGGTCTGCTTGAGCTTGTGATACACAATAATGTCTTCGGGATGGTTCAGATCTTTGGCCAGCTCTGTGATGTCTCCACCAGTCAAACGATTGGCACTGTAGACAGCACCGTTTCCAGTGTCAGTCCAGAACACTTTCTCCTACAAAAAATAAAATAATACAGATTTTCAATACCACATATCCTGGAATTTCAAAGAATATTCATGAGTAACATATAAATATAATAGATGTAAGCCTAATAAATTCAAATGTAATACCAGCGGTGGAAGAAGTACTAAATTTTGAGTACATAAGTAAAAGTACAGATACTGGAGCAAGTAAAGTAAAGTAAGGTAAACCTGTGTAAAATGCACATAAAGAGTAAAAGGTAAAAGCATTATGCACAAATTTTGAGATCTAATAAAGCTTCAAACGTAATGTTTTTGATAAAGATTTGTGCTGAATTTTCTTCTTTGTTTGCTCAAACAATGAACATGTTAAAAATAAACCTCTCAGCCTTTTCACTTTCACTTTTTAGGTTTGTTCAAAAATGTGGAGGAATAGAAAGTACAGATACCTCTTCTCAAATATAGTGAAGTAAAAGTAAAAAGTATCCACTTCAAAATGTACTTAAGTGATGTACAGATACTTAAAATTACTAAAATTACTTTTACTTTGTGTAATACTAACCTCAAAAACTGCCAGAGACACGGGATGGGTGAGGTGCTTCTCACTGACAACAAGTGTATGCCGGGAGCCTCCGCTGACATCTACACTGGAGAGAGTGTGCATCTTGGAGTCGACCCAATACAAGCGCTGATTAACCATGTCTGTTTGGAGATACAGAGATTGAAAGGAGAATAATTGGCTGTGTGCTCATTATGCACGTCCATTGGATAACAGCCACTCCAGCTAATGTGCTTGTATTTACCAAGAGTGATGCCATTGGGCCACATAATATTGTCCGTCACTATGGCAACGCGGTCAGCACCATTCAGTCCACTCTTCTCAATTTTAGCTTGCTCACCCCAGTCCGTCCAGTACATGAAGCTAAACATAACACACACATTATTAACACAATGTAAAAAAAACAAAAAGTACCTTAAAGGCTAATGCACAAGCAAATATACTTACTTATTGACAGGGTCCACTGTGATGGCTCTGGGCTTTTCTAAATTTTCAGAGATCAGGGACTTTCTCTTGCTTCCGTCAGTTGTTGCCACGGAAATAGTTTTCAGCTCACTGTCCGTCCAGTAAATGTTCCCATGGATCCAGTCTACTGCAATTCCCTCTGGGGCTTCAATCCCACTCCCAATCACTACAGTGTGGGTGGAGGAGTTACCCGCAGTATCTACATTTGTGCTGTGGGAAAAAAAGGTTTTGTTATGATTAATAATATGATAATTAATATAATGATAATATAATGAATAACAAATGCAAAATGAAATAATGGCCATGTGCATTATAGTAAATACTTTTAATACATGAGAGAGATGCATAAATATATATATTTTTTGACTATCGCCCTTAAATCTCCATCTTTATTTTAACACTTAAGTGCAAAGACATGACTACACAGCTCTCTTATAGATATGTGGTCAAAGGGACTGTGGGTGAGTTTGTAGTCAATTTAAACTATATAATTTGGAGAAAACAATCAAAATCTATCATATATATTGGCCCAAAAATATCGGCAGAGCTTATCAGCCAATGTTTTTTTCCGGATTTTAAACAAAAAACTGTATCAGCCATGAAAAAACCCATATAGGTCAATCTCTATCTAGCATTTGTCCTGGTTTTAATACTTCAGTCTTGTGATAAAAATGTTGAGTTATTGCCATATAACTAACCCTCTAACTGCCGTTCTCAATTCACCTACAGTCGTCATAATGGTTCATACCAGCTAAGTGATATAGTTGATATAGTTGAAATGTGTTTACCTGTATATCTTTTTTAGAGAGAGATCGGACCAAAAGATGGTCTTTGTTGGTATGTTCACATCCAGAGCGACTGCATTCTTGAGTTCTGGGATGAGGCGTATGTATTCACTGCGGTCCACTGTCATCACCCTCAGCTCATGTCTGCTGGTGAAGTACAACATGGGGGCAGATCCTGGATAAAAGCAGCAGAGCCGGTTTGTGAGTTTTTTTTTTTCAGTTTTGTTTTGTTTTTAAACAAGGAAATCATGTTTAGCGTAGGCAAATAAGTCAAGCCATACCTGACCCAGCTTTGCATGTGCCTGTCGCGGGGTCGATCTCATAGCCCTGCTTACAGTCACATCTGTAGCCACCGTCAAAGTTGATACAGATTTGACTACAAGTGTCTGGCATAGCGCACTCGTCAATATCTGCAATTGAAGCATAAACTACTGGTTGGACAAAGGTCTTTTTCTCAAATAAAAACACATGGCTTTGACTCTATACCTTCACATGTCTTCTTATCTGCCTTTAGTCTGTATCCTGTTGCACAGGAACAGTTGAATCCAAGACTCAAATCGTTGCATATTTGGGAACAGCCACCATTTCCATCAGAGCATTCATTTAAACCTATGGAAATCAGCACACACTTTTTTATTTGTTGTAATGCAATAATATATTTATATCAAATTGATTATTGTGAGCTTTAAGTCATGTTAGAATGTCATCAAAAACATACTTGTATTTGTGTTTTGTTTCAATCACTCATGTTTAAGAAACGCTTTATTATTTATTATCAACATCATCTCCCGAGCTCAAAATGCTGTTTCACCTTGAAGCGGAAGCTCAAGTTAACAGCTACTTTTTACCTTTCCTTTAGAAGAGATGGAAATTCCAGGGCTGCAAATTTTCAAATGATTCTAGTGAAGGTGTATGGAATTTAAAAACACAATGGAGCAGCTCCTGTCTTAGAGTGTTTGCTGTTGTTTGCGAGAAAAACTCAGCCTAAATATGCAGGATGTTAAATGTGTGAATGAAACAAACAAAACAATATTTTTTCTGTTATGTTTTTGATGAGGAAATAACCTGAGAGGATTAGAAAATTGCATAATATAGGCTCTGTAACTGCACATAAACATGTGTAAAGTGAATAACTAAATAGATCATAATATTGCTGACACTTTTAAGTAATAAACTCATAAGCCAGGACAAATACATATCCATTAAAAACACATACCACATTCAGTTGTTTCATCGGACCCATCCTTGCAGTCGGTGTTTGAGTCACACACTTTGTCCGCACTGATGCACTCCCCATTTTTACATTTAAACTTGGTGGGGCCCTCACAGTCATTTTCTGCAACAGAACCGCACATTAGTTAAACAAGAATACAAATATGAATATGTTCTTGAAGTGAGAGCTTCCAGGGATTCTTTCTAAGTTAAAACTCCACAAGAGATGCTCAACAGCTAACAGTGAAGATGACCATGTGCTTTGTCAAGCTTTTTTTTTTTTTTTTTAAACAAGTAAGTTTTTATACTACAAGCATGGTCATGGTCACTGTTTATTAATGTATTCTTTCTTAAATTAGAAAGACTTAAAACGGCTTAAGAAGCAATTTAAAAATCACCTATTTCACAGCCAGCTTCATCACTTTGGTCGCTGCAGTCGAACACTCGGTTACACTGACGGCTGCCATGGATACATGTACCATCAGTGCACTGGAACTCATCCAGGTGACAGGCGGGCCGAGCTAAGGAGTGGGAATATGAAATTAGTTACTCTTTACACCCTGGTCAGTGATAATTCTAAATGTTAACTCATAAATCATCACCACCTCTTGTAGTTCAAACTAAGTCAGATCTTTATGGTCAGATTGTGTTAAATTAAAGTTAGATAAAAGCAGCTGAACCTACAGTTAGCATCACACAGCCCTGGAAATGTTGATGACATTAATGGAAAAGTCTGAATATGAGTACACTGTGAGCATCTCCACAGCAACACTAAACAAATGAACTATTGTTAGGAAGGACTAGCTTCAGCTAAAACAGAAATAACTAATGTTTTGCATTAGGAGTGGTGTAGTGACGCTGTGCTGTGGTGTTCTAGACTTCGACAAGACTGATTTTTTTTGACAATCAATTAAGTTTTGTGTTGTACTGGAAACTCATGTTTTAGCACAGATGGGATATATTGGATAGATTAAATATTTTTGGTCAGTTATACCAAAAATACCAAAATATGTACATGTTAATTTAGGCCTTTATCAGCAGAAACAGCCAAAACATCTTAAATATTCCAAATATCTAAAAAATGTGTTTCATGTGTTATGTAATACTCACTGCAATTAACCTCGTCAGATTCATCGTCACAGTCTGGGCTGTTGTCACAGCGCCATATTCTGTGAATGCATTTCCCATCATCACACTGGAACTGGTGTGAGCCGCACTGTGCTGGCTTCGCCACGTCTTGTCCTGCACATGTTTGGGGCCACTCATCGGACCCATCGGCACAGTCTGCATCCCCATCACATCGCCATAGCAACGGGACACACACTGAGTTGTTACACTGGAAGGAGTTCGGGCCACATGTGGGTTTGGGACAGGAGACCTCATCTGAACCGTCACTGCAATCTGCTTCTTTGTCACACACAAATGAATTTGATATGCACTGGCCGTTTGCGCATTTGAACTCACTGTCCTTGCACTTTTTGGCAGCTGTGAAAGCAAATAAAAATAAATACTTTAATGAAACCCATAGTTAAATTTTAAAAATATATATATGGAAAAATATAATAATTGCAATAATTTATTGGCAAGATAGTGTATTACTAAACATACAGCAGTGTTCCTCATCAGCTCCGTTCTTGCAGTCGGCCTGACCATCACAGTGCCAGCCACCTGGTATACACTGGTTCATGGGAGGGCCACAATTGAACTCTGATTGTGAACAAGTCTTGTTTGCTGTAATCATAAAATAAAATATGTCAATGAGTCATAAGCAGCAAACCAGCGCCATAAAATTGAGCAACCATTAACCAAGTGGAAGTCATTTTGAAATTTGTAAAATACAGTACTAAGTTTAAAATGTAAAGTTTTAGCCACATTAGAATGTGGTTACCTCAAAAACATAAGTGGAGTTGTGTTTTGCTTCATTCACACATGTTTGAACAACTCTTTATTATTAGTCTGTGTTTTGTGTTTTAGAGAACAACTCAGCCTTAATATATAGGCTTTGTGTGTTAAATGTTAAATGAATGAAACAACACACAACTCCAGGTATGTTTTTGGAAAGGAAACAATATTACAACAGATAATAAAATAGTGTAATATATGCCTTTTAATTCATTTTCATTTTAGTTTAATCCGAGTGAAGTACACACCACATGTGGCTGGCCTCTCGTCAGTGCCGTCTCCACAGTCGTCTCTTCCGTCACAGATCCACTTGATGGTGATACACCTCCCATTATCACACTGCAGCTGGTTAGCACGGCAGGTGTTTGCAGCATCTGTCAACAATAAAATGTACACAGATTGATTATTGATGATTATTAACATCTCTTTACAAACTGAGTTTACGTAACAGGGCTTCAAACTTATTGGTTTTTACTAGGGCTCAGATTACACTTTACTATTCATGAATGGGCTCTAGTAACCCAAGCCTGAGTTGACATACAGACCCATTGGCCTTGCAAGGTTAATATATTACTAAAAATTACACATATGACGTATTAAGGCGATAGTCACTGGTATTGGGCGTGAAAATTAAGATAAGAATGTTTGTTTTACTGCTGGAACAAAGCTAGATCCTGTTTTAATCAAAAGTAGATAGTAAAACAAGGACAAAGTTTCACTAATGAGTCATCTTTAAGCCTGCAATAACAATAACTTCCACTTCTCATATCAGTTGTGTGTGAGATCTGCATAATTACACGGAATTGTTCTGAAGAGACAGAGGACTTTAATTATCTCTAAAAGGCAATAGAAAAATTTAAAAGTGCACATGAATTATGATCAGACTGAAATTGTGATACTAAACTTTTGCTTTATTACCTACTCCCTAGTCCCTAGTACAACCTTGCACGGTGAAGGCGACTTTTAGACATTTCAGGGTCTGAGTCTGATCCCAGTAAAGCTGCACATAGTGTATCTATCAGCTTAAGTAAATGACTCTAAATTAATGATCCATGTGAGGGAAGAGCCTGCCCCAGGACCGGCTTTGCGGGTAATGTGATGTCATCACCTGGTTGAGCAGGTTGGTGCCGTGTGCCAACACCTGAGCATTGTTCTTTGTGATGTATGACCTAGGGCCTGAGGAGGTGACAGTGTATCTCTTTAAGACAATACACAGGGAGGAGTTGTACAATCACACCACTAGTTTCTGATTGGTCCCAGAGAGGCAGATCCTTGCCACAATGTCACCATAGAAACCAAAAGGTAGAGCATGGACGGAAACACACGTGTGCATACATTGTGAAAGATGACAACCATCTGCCTACTGTGAAAATAACAAGATTTCACAAAACTAACTTCTGATGTAGTACAGTAAATTACATTTTATGAAAACCCAGAAGTTCCTCATCATGAGCACATGCGCTGATGACACACGGTTTCCTCAGTGTGGATCACCAGAACTCACCCCCTGCTTCTGGCCCCATTTTACAAGCAACCCCATTTTCTCTGAATGACTGGAAAGCTGCTTATTTTCCAAAGCAAGATAAAGTTCAAAGCTCATACCTCAGTGACCTTTAAAGTCCTGAGTGAAAGTCGAAGGGTTGAAACTGTAAATGGGTCAAACCCACCACACTGTACATGAACGAGCAAAGGATTATTCATTCCAGGGTCTAACTGACTTAAGCATTTACCTTTACTTTAATTTGTTTGATTAATCAATCTTAAGCTAAACAACTCTGACCAAGACTGCAGGGTGTGATTCATTAAACCACGCCTGTGTGTAATGAATAAGAATGTCTGGCATACCGGGCACCACTACAGGAAGTGCAATAAGCCCTATTAAGGCCATTTTTGTGTGTGCTTTACAACCTTCACGTGTATTGAATGGATAAATATAGCACTTAGACAAAAGCAGACAAATGTCACAGTCAGTGTGTGACATCTATTACAATCAAAAGCCTCTACACTGAGAACATTTATATTATTCCACTATATTATTATTATTACTCTGCTTTGTCATTGCTGCCCACCACCAGTCATATTTTTATCAAGCATACATACAGGGAGTGTTTATTGACTCAGACATACAATACCTGTTAATCTATAACCGAGCTGCTCAAAGGGTTGGTTATGGCACAATAAAGTAATATTGCTGTTTAGTTTTTTTTCCCTCTTGCACTGTAATTAAGTTTGTGCAGATTCAGCGTCAATATACTGTTACTGTCATCTTATAAACCACCAAAGAAATATATAGTTATAAAGGCTATATATATTTTTGAATGTAAGCCATATTATCTCATAAGATACATAGGATTGTGTTTCTGTTTTTTATTTATTTTTTAAAATTTTTCTACTTTTTTATTATCATTGAGCAGTTAAAATTGTTATCAGAGGGGCTTCAGCCTCGTAGAAGATGATTGTAGTCACACCCATCACTGACAGCCGCCTGTTCTTACTTCTCTCTCAATAGAAACTTAACGCCGCCGGCAGAATGGGAGAATGTGATTGGCTGATCAGCACTTACCGGAAAACCGAGTAGCCAATCAGAGCGCCGTGCGTAGATTCCATTCATACATATAGGAAAACCACGCAGCTACCAGGCATGTTTGGCTTTATTTAATTATCAAGTACACCAATGAGGTAAAATAATCAGTGTTTGTTGAATTACATACAACATATTACAGATAAATAAATACACATCTTTATAACTCAATTGTCAGTTTATATTGGACATTGGCTGCTGGTTTAATAGTGCATCATCAGCTTCAAAGCCACCTACATAAGCTTGTTTCTTACCTGCCACACTCTGTAACAGCATCACCAGGCAGCAGCAAAGGGCGAGCGTGCCAAGTCCTCTCCGCGTCCTAAACATCGTCCCTTCTGTGCCAAAAAGTCCACGCAGACCAGAGTGGGTGACGGGAAAAGCTACGACAGTTCCGCGATGTTTCACAGTGGAATGACAAAACAAAATTGTGGGCAGGAAGAAGGTTTTCTACTTAGAAGCTGCAGGAGGGCGGTGCTAAACAGTGGTCTGATATTTTAAATTAGATGAAAGCCCTGGTTGGTCAAGGGGAGGAGTTCTGCTCACGTACGTATTCGTTTCGTTTATCTGTAAGCTTTGTGAATTTGATGTATCATTATTGGATGTTTAAGAATTACAAATTAAATTAAAAGTTTCTTTACAAATAATAGTCTGTAATGAAAGCATGCAATTTAGAATGGCACACTTCACTATATCAAGAGTGAAACTAAAAACACAAATACACACACCCATCAGGCCTATTTCTTTCTTCTTCTTCTTTTTTTTTTTTTTTGGCCCTTCTGAATTTAGGAAATTATTTATAATAGGCCTAAATAAATACACCCCATATTAAATATATTTAGCATGTAGTAGAAATTGTTTTGAATTCGTATTGTTCGTGTGAATTCTATCTTATGGCCTCTTGCCTCCATCCTATTGTTCCCAGTTGTATTTATAGTTGGTCATCTGTATCTGACACTATAATGGGAGGATTAGTGGACCTGCTGCACTACTTGGCTATTATTCTATATGATAAATTGGTAGATATTCAATTTAAAAAGCCTTTATGAAGTCCAGAAAAGGGCTTGCTTGATTGTATGTATGTTTGTATTGTGTGTAGAGTAAAGGTGCAGCATAGTATGGGGAGGTATTTGGAGAATCCTGACGAAGTGGCAGGGTTGCATGTTGAAGTGCTCTTGTCATTAGTATCTGTCTGTCTTTGTAAATGAGTGAGTGTTGTGCAAAGAGCTACTACACTCTCTGATAGTGAGTCTCAAGTGAGTCAAAGCTGATTTGTACATCTGTTACATCTTGTACAGGGAGTGACACAGAAGTTCCTTGGCAGAGGTACAAGTTCTGCTTTCTAATATGTTCTGTTTCTTCATTAAACAGATAATGTAATGATTCTTTTTCTTGTACAGAAGGATTAACCACACATTAAAGAGGTTTGATAGTGTGGTGTTGTGTGATAGTGTTCAACCATCAGATGTCATCCAATCATCACATTTTCATCCTTCATGTATCACCATGTATGAAACATTTGCCTGATATTGTTGTGTTGTGCTTTTACATATTTTAACATATTTCTTGTTGTAATCGTACACAGATAAACAATATATCAGGGTAACTCTTTATCAATTAATACTAAATATCAGAATGTTCCAAGGATGTTTTGTAATTGTGATAGCTGTATTATATCATTAAAACATAGATGGAAAATAAAATATGATAAAGGAACTATCTCTCTCTCTCTCTTACTTCAGCTATTTAAATGGTAAACTTGTAAACATATTTCTTCATTACATTTGTAACATTTCTAGACTGCTGGCTGATACAGATGTTTATTTATGGCTTCTCTAGAGTTAGTTGTATGGAGTGGCTCAAAGCCATATAGGTGTCTTTAAGGTCAGGAAACTGTGGCCAGTGATCACGATCCAAATGTGCATGAAAATTCAGCATCAACATGGGCCTCAATATAAACTGTACCACACACTGTCCAGCCCGCACAGGTCTCTCTGTGTCCGCATATGCCTCCACTGAGTAAACTAAGCAGCTGTTTACATCCACTGAATCAGACTTATATTTATATTTTCATTTGAACTTTTAAGGATAAAAAATAAGGCAAAGATATGCATACAGATCAAATGTGCAAAAACTAAATACAATAGTAAGTATTAAGTGTGTGTATAAATATGCGACACAACAATATATAAATCAATGACTATAGCTTACTATATAATTTTGAGACATAGATAAATAGTAGGCCATTATGTTCCAGCAGTGTCATGACTCCTCTTAGTGGTGAAGAAAGGTATTACAGATTCAATACAAAATAAATCGGGTAAATGTACATCAAACAGAGTAAATGGTTTACTAAATTGTTATGCTTTAATAGACTTGAGCTGCAGCAACATTAACACACTACCACATAACAGACAGATATAAATATGTGGAGAAAAAGTGTATGCTTTGGTTGTATGCTCTTTTCTCTAAATGTCTACCATAATGACTAAAGTACTGAGCCAAAGTAGAGCTGCACACACGTGCAATGGCATTTTCTAAAAATTACAACAAAATATGCAACACCATACAGCCATGGGGCTATCACAACAGAGAGGAGCCACTGTCTCTCTGGTCGTTTTCTTGGAAATCAATAAACAATAAAAAGTGCTCATGTACATTGAACAGATCTGAAACACAAAATCACCACACAACGGAGAAGCAATTAAAGTTACAGCACTCAGTAATGAAATTTGTTAATTCTACAATCAGCAGTTGGGATTGAATAATGATAGAGCGGCAGCAGCAAAGTGGACTAGTCTTGAAACAGTACTAGACTCTATTTACAGTACATAATAAATAAAGATCCTCCCCAAACACATTCAGTCAAATCAAGTTGCTCAACAGCTTCTTAGAATCAGGGAAACCACAGACCACATTTCCAAGTCAAACAGTGAGCACTGGTCACAAATATGTGATGTACACACACTTCAGTAATCACAGCAGCTCCTAGGGGCCAGACCAGACGATACTGTTGCAACATATCGCTGCCGTGAAGGAGCAGGAGCAAAAACACCAGATCTGTTGATGCCAGACTCACATAAAATCTGTGGTACTAGCTGGATATGAACACAACACTACCCTGTCTGGATCATCCCTTCATATTTTGGTTGAAGAAGTGTGCAAGGAACTACTAATAACAAAAATATCAATATTACTACCCAAAACATGAAAAACAGGAAAAAGCAATCATTTGTAGAGTAAACACTGACTAGATTTTCCATTTACACAATCAGTAACAGCTTTAGCAGCATTGTTTGATGTTAGCTCCTCTAAATTTTATAATACTGTAATCTTAATTTAACCATTGTGCAGTCAATTAAGTGGTTTTATCAGAATTTAAACAGGTGGACTGGACACACAGTCCACTTTGACTATCTCAATCCAAGATATTATGATATAAAATCCAGTAACCTGTCTTTTTGCCCCCACATCACACAGTGGAGTTTAGGCCTCATCATCAGTGGCACTGGGGGTCCGCTCCTTAAAGAATAAAAACATGTTTGTGTTAATGTGGTGAAAACTGTCTGTCTTTTGTTATCTCATCAAAAATGTACCGTACTTGGAGTGTTTTCTTTCATTCACATATGTTTAACACACAAACCGTACATATTTAGGCTGAGTTCTTCTCTCAAAAGGAAAACCCTCTGTTCCAACTTTTGTAATAATGTGGTAATACAGAAAGTGCTCCACTGTGTTTTTAAACTCCATATATCTCACAAGAATGATTTCAGCTATGGAATTGCCAGTCTCTACTGAAATAAAAGGAGCTGTTACTTCGCAAGGTAAACAGAGCATTTCGGGCTTTGCATATGTGGATACACTAATAAACCAGAGTTACTTAAACATGTGGAAATGACACAAAACACAAGTCCAGGTCTGTTTTTGATGAGGTAACAACATTATAGCATGGCTTAAAGTTTATGTGAGTCAATTTTGCGCAATATAGGACATTTAAATGCTTCTGTGGTTTGTATGTACCTCTTCTGGCTCTTCATCAGAGTCATCATCACTGACCACAGGTTTGGCTCGCGTTCTCCCTGGTCGCCGACTGCGTCCCTTTCCTTTATCTCCTACTTTGTCTTTCCTTCCTAGGCGGATCTTCACCTTGACTGAACGAGCTAGGTTTTAATAACATAGCAATTAAACACTCAAGAAAACAAAATGAAACATATTTTGATGATTGGCATCTTACATTCAGATTCTGATCCTTCTTCCTGCTCTTCTTCATCCTCCTCACTATCCTCTCCCTCGCTGTCCTCCTCCTTTTCAATCTTTTGTCTCAAGCTTGTGAACACTGACTGAAGTACAATCGAGTCTTCATATATCTGCTCTCGCAGTGGGATAAAACATGCAAAAATGAAATAAAACCAGTTATTAAAATTGGTCCTTATGATTATAGCATCAAGTGAGCCAGCTTTTAGCGAGTTTGACATTTTAAAAATGCGTATGCTAGTGTCAATCTGAATCTAGTAAAACACAGATGGAATATACATATCCTCTCACTAAAAGCCTTTTACAAATCAAAATGACTAGCACTTCATGTTTATTAAAATTACTGTTTAGGTGGTTCTCACAAGTGAGCCTTCCAGATTGAAGGTTTGAGCATTTTGAAACAGCAGCATGACATCTCTTTCCAGGTCGCCCAGAGTGCGGTAGCGATGGCTCTTGATCCTCTCCTACAAATTATAAAATGTTTTGATGAAGGGTTTCATTAATGAGCAAATAGTTTTCAAAGCATATTATATAAAATGAACCTTGATCTTTCTGAAGTCCACAGGTTTACGGATAAGTTCATAGTACTCTGGCAACTCTTTCCGAGAAGGAAGCTGGATGAACACTTCACTCAGCTGACGCCCACTGGCACTGGGGGACATCATCAGAACCATAACAATTTAAAAGCCTTTGCCAAATATTATTCTTGAAAACTGAGAAAACAAAATACTTGTGGTCAAAGAGGATTATTGTTTCTACCTATCTTTGTACTTGATGACAGCATCCACAATCTTCTTCATCTTCTTGGTGAGAGCTGGTGGATTGGGAGAGAGCTTCTCAACAGGTGGTCTCCCCCTCTTCCTCTGCCTTTTACATTCATCATCCTTGTCCCCTCGCCCTCGGCTCCCAGAGGAGGAGGGTCCTGACAGGTCTGGGTCATGATCCCTCTTCCTTTTGCGGGTTGTTTTTTTATGTTTTACCTCCTCCTCCACCTCGTCTAAGGTGCCTTCCTCTATCGCCTGTGATCAAAACATTTCCCTTTAACAATGAGAAAAAGGAGCATTTTTAACCTTGAGCCATTGTTTTTTAACTAATGACCTTGAGCCACTGTTTTTCTGTGAGTGAGTCACTGTAGTCGACTTCTTTTCTCTGTCTTGACCCCCTTCCAAACATCTTCTCCTCCTCTTCCTCGTAGGTAAGGCGCTCCACCTCAGCATCGTCTTTCATGATCCAGGTGGGGAGCTCATCTTCTTCCATTAGCCGCGGTTTACGGCGAGGGTTACGGGCTTCTTCTCTGCGCCGGTCAAGGTCCATGCGCTGGTATGAGAAGAGACAGATAAGTATCTCAAATGAGGGAACTGACACAAACACCTATAGCAATACATTTTAAGTATATGTATGGTTGTAGTAATCAACATTTATAGTGCGTTCTTTTGATCTTACCATAAACAGGTCAAATTCCTCCTCGCTCCTAGCAATCATCTGATTGACTGTCTCATCATCTGGCACTTCATCCTCCTCCTGAATACAATAAACACACATTGGCAGCAGAGTATAAGAAAGCACCGTTTAAAATGGTGTGTATCGTGGGTGCACGCACACACATTCATGCGGAGACACTGTTCCTGACCCCAGACCTCGTCTTGCTCCTCATGCTCCAGAATGGCCTGCAGGAAAGCCCTGCGCTCATGGCTGGAGGACTTCTGATCGAACATGCCAGCTTGGATCACCTTTTGGTCCACGTTCAGTTTGTATTTGGCAGCAGCTAAAATCTTTTCCTCCACACTGTTCACAGTGCAGAGGCGCAGCACACGCACCTCGTTTTGTTGACCAATTCTGTGGGCCCTGTCCTGGGCCTGCAGATCCTGTTCAGTACAAATGTTTAGAAACAGTTTTTGTCACAATTAATATGAGTACAGTAAAATGTTAATTTAAAGGTTAATCTGAACCTGGTGTGGGTTCCAGTCAGAGTCAAATATAATGACAGTGTCGGCCGACTGCAGGTTGAGGCCCAGGCCTCCAGCTCTGGTGCTCAGGAGGAAGATAAAGTACTCAGACTCTGGGTCATTAAAAGTCTTCAGTAACATCCCTCTGTCTTCAGCCTTTGTGGTTCCTGCAAATAACGCATACAAATGAAGAATTCACATTCATACCAGAATATAAAATCAAATCACCTCACCATCGAGGCGCAGATACTTGAAAGTGCGATAAGCAAAGTAGTCCTCCATGATAGTCATCAGAGAGGTCATCTGACAGAAGAGCAGCACCTTGTGGTTTGTGGCTCTGAGTTTTGGTAGGATTCGATCCAAAACCTCAAACTTTCCTGAAGCTCGATACAGGTCAGGTCTAGTGATTCAACAGAAAGTGTGTTAAAGTTTTGTTTATTTGTTAAAATTAAATTAAATGAAAACAAGGCTTTTACAGGCTCTTTAGAAACTTACCCCTGTACTATCCCACCTGAGAATCCTAAATGTTCGGAAAAGGACTCCTACAAAACAATGACTAATTAGTACACTATTTGCTTGGAGACCAACATGGTCCACATCGTGTGCAAAATGTACAAGTCTAATAAAACTTACATGGGAAATATTTCAGTTACAAAAGGTTTAATCAGTAGTTTTCTGCCTTACCTCTATCTGCTGGAACATATATGGGTGGTTACAAATCTTCCGGAGCTGCATTATAGTATTCATCAAGGTCTTCGTACCACCTTTGCCCTGTACAGTACAATGAATGCACAAGATAAATAAGATGAATAAGATAACTAATAAATGCATTAATATTTTCCATACTTTCTTGTCTTTTTCAGATCCATCTGTCAGCAGGACACCCTTAGCCTGCATGTGCCTGTACAGTACCCTCTGGAGAGATGACATGTCACACTTGATGACATATTCCACCTGAAACAGATCAACATTTGAATAAATTCTGAATCAAAACAAACACACTGTGTGAAGGTAATTTGAATGAAAGACATGCCTTCTCTGGAAGCTGTGCCTCCACCTCTTTTTTTAATCTGCGCAACAAGAACGGGCGAAGAACTTTGTGGAGACGACGGATAATCAGTATAGTCTCTTCTTCGTTTAGGTCCACCTTGTGGCAAAGACAAATAATGCAGCTTAAAGGTTCTGTACTAGTATTACTTGGGAGCTGTGTTTTGTTTCATTTACAAATGTTTGAGTAAACGTGAATTACTGTGTGTCTACATCTCCCAAACTCAATATGCTCTTTTCCACCTTGTGACGTCATGAAGCAGCAAGGTAACAACTAACTTTTACCCTTACTTCAATAGAGGTGTGCAATTCCAGGACTGAAATTATCCAAATGACTCTAGTGAAGGTGTATGGAGTTTAAAAACACAGTGGATCACTTCCTGTATTACAAGGTGTTTTCTGTTTGAGAAATGAGCTCTTAAATATGCAGGATTTGTGTGTAACATGTGTGAATGATGCAAAACAAACCTCTGGGTATGTTTGTGATGAGGAAACAACATAATAACATAGATCATAAAACAGCGTAATATAGGCCCTTTAAGACAAAACCAAAAGAAAAATCACAAACATGTACTGATGAATATTCACTAACCTTCTCTCCAGTCATGGCGAAGGGGGCATTGAACCACTGCTCAAAAGTGCTGCAGCTCTTGAAGATGGTGGGGAGGAGGAAGTTGAGCAAGGCCCAGAGCTCTGGTAGTTTGTTTTGCAGCGGCGTGCCCGTGAGCAGCACCCTACGAGGGGCCAGGTAGTGGGTGTTTAGGACCTGGGTCAGTTTACAGTGGTGGTTCTTCATACGGTGTCCCTCATCCACAACCATGTACTTCCATCGGATCTAAATAAGAACAAAGACGAAAAGGGAATCTAACAAACTCACAAAAAAACTACTAAAAGATGCTGTTAGCCAAAAACATTGTATCTCTAAAGCATTTACAAGCCAGTTAAATAACTTTGACTGTACATTTAAAGGTGCATGTAACTTCTTGGCTGAGGGTCTGGCACCTGCTTGTTTCTATGGATCTCTAACTACACTGAACTGGAATATTGCACAGTATGACATTAAACAGGTGATATTACTGGTCAAAAATTTCTAGAAAAACAGGCATTCTGACTGTGAGCGGGGCTGCCTCTCCACAGATCTGACCTGTATCTGTATCTGTTCGTTTGTTTGGTCTCCATAAACATAGAAAGGTTTAATGCCATGCCAACATTCCAGATAAAGCAATAACATCTCCATGGAGAAAAGCATTTGACTGACCCTTCATCAGAAAAGTTACACAATGCACATTTAAGACTATTATGAACTTTAAATAGTAAAAACAAAAAAACTATCAACTGAGAAGCCAATGTGCCAGCGGTGAAGACGGTATAATGAATACACAGGATACATAGTTTCTGGCATACAGCATTTTGGAAGCTCTCTTGTCCACATTGTCCTCATGACTTTGACCCAAACACAAGCGTCCAGGAACCATGGGGGTGGTCCTTCCTACACTACAATACGCACCTTGCAGTTCAGTCAGGGAGCATACATGACTACATGGGGCCAAAGAAGACAGAGAGGGCATCAATTTAAGGCAGCACCTAGAAGAAAACACTGAGACGCAGCACACAAGGCGGTCAGACTAGCCAAAATGAAGATGTCATAGATGGGGACCAAAAAAAGCAACAAATAAAGAAACAAGCAATGGATCAGACTTGCACCTTTGAAGAGAAAATGGAAATCTTACTTTTGCCAGTACTTGCTTGTCTTTGATGATGTACTCATAAGTTGTGAGCAGAACGTTAAACTTTCCACTCCGAAGTTGAGGAACAAAGGCTCTTCTGGCGGCAGGTGACCCCTAAAATTGGCAATATGTTAGAAACCACACTGAAAATTACATTTAGCTTTTGAGTGCATCGTTTAAATACCTTATAAGACACTTTGACGACAGTTGGTGCCCACTTGTCAAACTCATACACCCAGTTAGAAAGTGTTCTGTTAAAAGAGCCAGCTTTGAAATTCATTTGTATTAATCAATTGATTAACTTTGCAGTGACATCACTCTGGGGGTGTTCTACATGTATTTCTATGGTGGAATGTTAATATTTAGACACAATGCACACAGTACCAAACACTAACAAAATTTTTTTAAAGGGACAGTCCAGAATTTTGGACATCGAACCTAATTTCCTAGTTAGCCAGAGTGTTGGAGACGCGTGAAGACACTTTTTCAAATATTCCATCCAGTCCTTGTATTTGCAGAGGTCGCTGGTGCTAGGCTAGTGCATGTCAATGGCCATAGTTAGCCTGCCACTAAAAACAGTCTTACCCACTCCACAAAACACCTGAAGCAAATCTATAATTACAGCAGACTGTCAATGTAAATGTCTGAGTTGATAGAATAATGTTTGAAATAAAACTAATCGTGCATCGCATGAATCGTCACATGCTGAGGGACTATTTTCTCAGCAGCAGGAAATTTTACTTTGCCAGTAAGATAGGTGCTAGGTGATATCAGTGCGCCGCTGCCAAGCTTTCTATCAGGATGTACAACTGCTGCTGCTCAGACATAAATCCCTCAAATGCAAGGTTGTTTTTTTTACTTCTAAAATGATTCTGTCAACATAGACATTTACATCGGCAGACTAGTGTAATAATAGATTTGATTCACGTGTTTTGTGGAGTGGGTAAGTGTTTTTAATGGCAGGCTAACTATGGCCATTGACATGCACTAGCCTAGCACCAGCGATCTCTGCAAATACAAGGACTGGATGGAATATTTTAAAAAGTGTCTCCACACATTTTCAACACTCTGGCTACCTAGGAAATGAGGCCCTATGTCCAAAATTCCAAACTGTCCCTTTAAGATTTGAAAACTCAAGAACAATACAAAATGGATTGAAACAGCACATTTTCAGGAGTCTGTGATCAATACGAGCATTCGTGGTCCTGTTTAGGTGTTGTTGATTTTCAACCCTACAAAATAAGAGTGACTTGTAACTGAAAAACTGTTGGCTAACTTCAGACAGAGCAGAGCCTTCAGGGAATGTTGATGACATCCACCGCAAAGTATCAATACCAGACTGAAATATATAATGAAATGTTTTAAACTTACGAGAGGGGTACAATAATGAGGTAGGGTCCATTGAGCCGCTTGTGCTCCATGAGGTAAGTGATGAGTGCAATGGTCTGGATAGTTTTACCCAAACCCATCTCATCGGCCAAGATCCCATTCAGATTGTTGTTGTAGAGAGACACCAGCCACTCCAAGCCTTTAATCTGAAAGGGAAAAAGAACGGTATCAATCTTTGTGTAAATCTTGCATTAAGTTTCCATTTACTAAAGTTCGTACCTGATATTGTTTGAGTTGCCCATTAACCAAAAGAGAGGACTGTTTTTCCACCTTCTCAGTGACAGCGTGAGCCACTGAGTAGTAGGACTGAAGACCGCGTGCAAAAGCTGCCCCACTGTATTCATCGTCCACATCCTGCTTGGCATTCCTGTAGAAAAAAACAAAAACAAAAAACAAGCACATTATAAATGATCTAGATCTAGTTAAAGTTACATTTATTTAACTTTTTAATTTATTTATTAAGCAAACTTGATTCTTGTGAGCTTTAAGTCATGTTATAATGTTACCGCATCAAAAACACACCTGGATTTTTGTTTTGTTTTTTCTTTCACATATGTTTGAGCATTAAGTTTAGCAGCTACCTTTTAAGTTTAGTTCAGTAGAGATTGGCAATTCGAGGGCTGAAATTATCCAAATGATTCTAGTGAAGGTGTATGGAGTTTAAAAACAGAGTGGAGCACTACCTGTATTACCGATGCCATCACAAGGTGGAACTGAGTTTTCTTTGAGAGAAGAACTCAAATATGCAGGGTTTGTGTGTTAACCATGTGTAAATGAAACAGAAACTCCAGGTTGATGAAGACACAACATTATAACATGGATTAGAAAATAGCATTATATGGAACCGTTAAGATAATGAACAGTACTCATGTTGTTTTTAATCATACTCACTCAATAATGTGCCGGACATCCACCTCAGATACATCTTCACTATCTGGATCTGTGATCTTCTTTTTCTCTTCCACTGGTGCTGTCGAGGGCTGTGGCTCTTCCTCTTCTTCCTGCAACAGTTCAATAATGAACTTCTACTGAAAAAGCTGTGTATTCCAAACAATATAAGCAATAGAAGTACCTCCTCTTCTTCTTCTTCCTCACTATCTTCGCTGTCTGAGCGTGGGGCCACCTCATAACTACAGGTGAGAAATGAAACAAAATGAAAAATACATATATGTTGTTTATTTTAACCTAATTATCAAAGCATAACTATAAGGGATTTGCACCACAACAGGTAGATGTAAAGAACTGTAAACTATAATTATTATAAACAAAACATGTACTAACCCTGGGTTCATCTCCAGCCATGTGTCTAGCTGTCCAGCTTTCGGTGCGTCTACCCCAGTCAGAATATTTCCACTGTCCACGTGTATGACTTTGACTGGAAGATCGCTCATCTGACTTGTCTCATCCAGAGGCTACAGAAAGAAGACCCAGGTCAGGTTTACAGTTTAACCATCAAACTAAGAAAATAATTTAAAAATGTAGAATAGAGAGTTCAGTTTACCTCGCCATCTGGTCCAACCGTAGGAGGAGGAGCTTGACCAGCCTCAGCATTTTCCATTTGCTGAATATCACAAAAATGTATTATATACATTTTTCAATAGATCCTTTAAAATCCAATGTCATCAGAATGTTCAAAATCCTGGACAATTGAAGCTGACGTAATATATTTTCAATGGTTACCTGATCTAAATTTTAATGGTCTTACAACATTATAACAAAAAATAAACAATAATTTTGAATTTCTAAGGTACAAATATTTGTTAATTTGCTTCTCTGTAAAAAAGGATGGAAAAAAACTGTTATACATACAGTACTTTTACATACCATACATTTCTAAACTCAAAATTGTATTTCAGCTTCACAAAACGTATCATTTATGATGAAATGTAGAAAAATCTGTAGATGAAGTGACAAACTGTAGTGGGCTCAACATTTCTGTAAGCATTTGTCCAGTTTTTCTTTGTCAAAAATGGTTAGTGTCTATCATATCATATATCATAATCTCTTCTTAAATTATCAAACAGCATAAAAATACAATGGGCTCAACTGGGCTCCGATATCGCTCACATGTATCTGAGTGGTTATCTTTTGCCAAATTTCGTAAGATTTTCTTATTGAAATCCCGTCATTGTTCGATTTCTCTTTTGCCTCCTGCTGCCCTCATTCCGGAATTTATGTTTTTATTTACACATTTTTAAAATAAAATTTTAAATGAAATATGCATAAATAAATAAATCACTTTTCTCGCAAAAATAATCTGAAAACTCACAAGGAAATGTAATAAACTCAGTAAATTCCTCTGTATCTTTGCAGTTTACCTTCTTCTTTTTCTTCCTCCTCTTCTTCTTTTCCTTGAGGGCCTGAGCAGCCTTGTGTGCTCGGACCAGCTCTGTGAGGTTGGCCACATACTCGTCAGTCTGCTGTAGGAGGTAGGCCAGGCGCTTGTCTTTCTTCTGGTCAATCAGTTTACGATAGCCCTCCTCATCCTCCGCCTAAAAACACATGTATTTAAATAAATAGGATATATATATAAATATGTATGAAAGGTATTCAAGCTTTGTCCTTACCATCAGTCTCCTCATTCTCTCCTTCTCAATGCGCTCATTCTCTTTCTTCTGCTCACGTTCAGTGTTAGCATGATAAGTGGCCACAGCTTTGGTTAGCTTCTGTATTTTGCCTGTGATTGAACGATGATACTCTTTGAAGTCTTTGGCATGTTGTAGGATGCTGTTGAGGTACTCCTACAACAGAAAAAAGTATATGTGAACATTAAAATATTATATTAAAATTACGATTCACGAAATGTATAAGACTTATCTTATTTTGTTCTACCTGATGTTTCTGCCTCCGTTTGCGCTCCTGCTCAATCTTTTGCTGTTTCTCCAGCTTCTCAGTGATACGGGCTTCTCGCAGAGACTGGCGCTTGCTCCGCTTATAGGCTTTAGCATCAAGAGCAGTTTCCAGAGCTGTGTCGCGGCGCATGCACACCACTACTTCTTGACGCAGCTGTGTGTTAAGATAATAAAATGTTTTAAATATCCCAAAATATTAAAATATTTACAATTATTATTATATTCCTCTGTACCTGTCTCTGGAAGTTAAGCAGACGAAGGGCTTTGAGTTCAATAGTAGCTTTGGTACGAAGATCACCAGCTAGAGATCCAGGCAGATTCTCTAGTTCAGTAATTCGATGTGTGATACGAGCCTGTAATCTAAAATATTAAAAAACATGTATGTGATTTCATGATTGATAAAATAATAAAGAAATGATATAATAAAATGTCAGGAAGTCATTGTAATACTTAAGGCACCTGTACTCTCTCTCCTGCAGGATCTCAACTGGGTCCAGGCCACAAGGTTTCTGAATGGGTGTAATGCGGTTCTGCTTGGCGTGGTAAGGCATCATTGGGATAGGCTGAGCTGGTTGGCCAGGGGACTGGGTCTGTGGGGGCATCACAGGGGAGGCTGCGGGGGGGACAGAGGGGGGAGCAGGAGAGGGGCGGCCAGTAGGTTGTGGTGGAATCAACTTCTGAGGTGCATTGGAGGGCGCTGCTGCATTTGCCATGGGGCCTGTGAATCATTGTAAACAAAAGTCTCATTAACATGACCATTGATCAATGCAATGTACATTTGTCCATTCTTTATCATCTCTGTAAAAACATACAAACCTTCAGGCCAGGACTTTGGAGGTCCATTCATGTTTTGTCCTTGCATCCCAGATGGAGCTCCTGAAGGACCCGGGGGAGGCATGTTGGGGCCTATCATTCCTATTGCACCATAAGTCAGACATTAATATTATAATTCGTCAGATACTCAACACCTGTCTCTTACTTATTGCTCACCATGTGTCCGTGTGAAGCCTGGGCCCATAGGTCCAGGTCCAGGGGGACCTCCTGTGGGCCCCCCTCCTGCACCAGGGGGAAGGCTGGGCATTGGCCGTTTGCCCTGTACGGCCATCTGTAGGTGTTCAGAAAGAGGCTGGCCCCGAGCCAACATCTTATATGCCATGATCTGTGCTCGCAGCTGGTGAAGCTGATTCTGGTTGAAAGGTGTAGGACCCCCAGGCCCACCTGGACCCCCAGGACCGGTGGGACCACTAGGCTCCAAACCTGATCCCAAGGACCCAATACTTGGGCCAGGACTGGGGCCTGGTCCGGAGCTACCTGGAGGCCCAGTGCGATTATTGGGGCCCATAGAATGTTGTTCTCCACTGCCACTATCTAGGGGAGTGGAGGCTGTGCTAGGCCCTCCAGAGGAAGAAGAGGATGATGATGATGCCATCAGTGGGCCAGAGGGGGGCCCATTGGATGGAATGGGACTGGAGTGGTCTGAACCACCTAGAGGGGAATGATATCCTGAAAGACAGAGCTAATTACAACAAAGATTCACTTTGATTCTAGAGTTACGAAAATCAATAGATTGATCTTCTACAGCGATTTAAAGTTGCACTATGTAATTTTCCCATTGCTTTGTCTCTGATCTTTCTGTCATCTGTGATCGCGCATTGCGACACAAAAAATGTATGTTATGTTGCATATGTTAATTGTAAAGAACCTATAAATATTGATAATAGACCAGGTAAGACACACCCTCAAACCTACACATGACTAATGTGCTGTTCTGACTTACACAAAGGGAGAATTACAATGGCTAAACAGACGAAGCATGACTACCTTGTGAGTGTTGATCCAAGGGACTGGGTGGTGGACCCATGCCACTATGTCCACCCTGCCTCAAAGAGAGTCCCTTCATCTGACTGTAACGACTGTCTTCATTTGTGTTCTTGTCGTGCATACCTTCCACCGGCTGTAAAAAATAAAAAATAAAAATTTATAATAAAATAAATAAATAAATCACATTAAAAAACAGAGGAAAAAAATATATAACTCTATCATAGCTAATTATATAGATAATGATTAAAGAACTCGTGTACTCTTATTGCCAATAATCTGATGTAATGCAATTTTGTCAGCGAATAATTAGTAATTGGCAATGACCAAGGTCCATGCAATGGTGGGTCAAAATCTCACTTTATGTAGTGAGTGAATGTTGTCTTGACTGTATCCAGATGGTCCTGGTTGGGAATGACCAGAGGAGGAGCCAGGTGATGGCCCAGGACTGGGGCCCAGCATTGCCCCAGGAGAGGGCCCCGGGCCTGGGGAGGGCCCAGGGCGGGAGCTGCCTCCCATGGGAGGTTCTGGTGTGGACATCGCCCTGGACCACCTGCTCCTGTCTCAACAGGAACCTGAAGACAGGGAGAAGACAAATTATAAAAAGAAAGTAATTTTAAAATATGGAAAATACCAATGCAACATTCTGCATTTCTACAGCAACATCATCCACAAACACCAAGTCAAATTTTATGTTTTAAATTAGTGGCAATGAAGTGATGAAAAGATGCTCTCTTTGCAGAATATTATATGGGTGAGTCTATATCAAGTCACCATTCTGATGCGCTGCACCAATCCCGACACGAGCGTCTGCAGCCGCCCGCAGGTTCTGCGGAGCTGGTTAGGCGTAATAAAATAAGCACCGGCGCTGCACGACTCATATGCTTCTCCCAAGAACCAAAAGCGGGTCTACCTTGTTAAATATAAAAGGGGGAATGGCGGACTGTGCTTGTGCGACTGACCTACCCGCGCATCCCTGGGACAAGGAGTCCTGCGTAAATTCAGCACGGACGAGTTTACATTTGGGCCCACCAAACGAAGACAGAGCAGTAGTTGCAATTAGACTACTCACCCGCTTTGAAATCTGCCTTCAAGCTTTGATTTGTTCCAACGACGTGGCTCGAGCGCCCCCCTGCACCGCTTTATGACCGAATGTCTAGTCACGGCGGTCCTCAAATGCGCATGCGTGCGCACTGACAGCGAGCACTGTATTCACAAAGGGAGCGGGGAGAGCACAAAATGTTTTCATTTCAACTATTCTGTTCCCATAAGTCAATATTGAGATGGCCTAACGTAGGGAGACAATTACTAAAAGTTGCTACTTTGCTTAATAAGGTATTGCTAAGTATAGCTCTAGGAGAGAGAGAAAGAAAACAAAAAACAACTAACTTCTAAGACATAAAACAGAGTACGAATTATTCCAGTGTGTAACTTTAATCAGCAAACTCAGCACAATTGAATGCAAATTATTTAGAGTGTTGCATTCACATAACAGCAACATTGTCAGTAGATCCAACAGTCATACATATGAAATAAATTATAACAAATGATAATGATGATCTTATCTATGAAATACTCATAACACACAATGAGAAAGATTTATACATACACTCTTAAACACACTTATGATAGATAAATAAATATACAAAACTAATGTACAATAGATAATATTTACAACTATGTAGCTTCTCAGTAAACTTGCATGATCAATAAGAACAACTCTTTAAACTTAAAATAAAAAATTTTAACATAAAATATTTTTTAGTTTTTGGGCAGTGACTTTCTATGGTTCTTCACATGACAACAAGTGACAATGCTACACACAACATGATACTGTTCAAGAGCAGAATCCAGTCCAGAAGATCCCCTTTCCTTTAAATAAAAGTAGTTTTATAGTGTCATCAAGAAATAAGCAGTGTCCTCAGTGCTTTACAGGAAGACAAACTCATCACTGTTTCTTCTATTGTAAGAGTTTTCAACAGTTCGTGGGGGTAAAATGTGGGCAGTGGGAATACTATGGTTACTGCTGTGTCCCTCCAGTCCATAGTCCTGGCCCCGTCCTTCCACAAACGTGAAGATGGGATACTTCTCCTTAGATGATGAAAGAGCCTACCAGTGCAAGATAAGAAGAAACATTTTTAATAATCTAAACATTATTGCCAATGTGTCAAGGTTTTAAATGTTCAATGAGGTGAATGAAGAACAACAACTCACCACACTAACCGCAGAACAGAGCGATTCAAAGTCTTTTTTGGTTTTGGCATAGAAACCAATGGTGCAGCTAGGGTCCATACGATTAAATGGCATCTTTTTAGGTGAACTACAGTGGAATGACTGCAGAGGAGAGAGAAGACAGACCAAAGGTGTCAATGAGTATTTCAGTATTTTGTGCAAATATATTTAAAAACTTTGAACTGGCACAATATAAATAAACAAACCTCTGGTGAAAAGTTAACTTCAGTGACGTCTACCACAGGTTGACAATAATGAGGATCCAGATAGAGTAAATGTTCATCTGACAGAAACCAGGAGTCAGTGAGAAATAATCCCTTATTAATTACTGACTGTATATCATGTACGAAATGATGAAAATATATAGTGGGGATATAATAACATAATAATAAGACGATTGAAGTGACTAGTTAAAGGGCCTATATTACCCTGCATATTTAGTTCTTCTCACAAACAGAAGACACTCTGTTCCACCTTGTGATGTCATGTGGTAATACAGAAGTGCTCCACTGTGTTTCCAAAGTCCATTCACCTTCCCTGGAATAATTTGCATAATTTCAGACCTGGAACTGCCAATCTCTACTGAACTACAAGTAAAAAGTAGCAGTTAAATTGAAACCACTTCATGACATCACAAGTTGGAACAGAGCCTTTTGAACTTTGAAAATGTAGACACTAATAATAAAGAGTTACTCAAACAACGCGAGGTATGTTTTTGATGAGGTAACAACATTATAACATGGCTTAAAGTTCACAAGAGTCAACTTAACCTTGTATAAGGCAATCTAATCTATTTAGTGCAATACATTTAATTATACAGTGATTCTTTTTTCCTATGAATAATGACCAAAAACTTTCTTTCTAACCTTGAAAACCAATGAAGAAGAAATGTAATGATGCCAATACAGCACTCAAGTTGACAATAACATAAACTGAAGCTGGAATTACAAATAATGGTAAAATGAACACACCTTTACACATTCAATATAGGAAGGGTTTAGAGCCTCGCCCCCCAAACGAACTGGTACGAGTATGATAACCGACTTCCATGAGTAGTTGAGCTGATCGCTAGGAGGTCGACTTTGTGGCAAATCACATAGGTGGACTACATCACCCTTGTACACTAAAAATGAAAGCATTAATTATAATTTAATGAATTAAGTCACACTTTATGAACACAGACTTTATCTCACTTTTGAATTTTCTGAAGATCACTTTGTTCATTCTTACCGAAGTATGTGAGCCACTATAGAGGGGCCATACCAGTCACCCGCTTTTTTGCCTGAACTTTTGCCAATTTCCACCAATTCATGAATTCCAAAGGGTGCGTGCGGCTGGTCCTCAAACCATGTGAGTAGTTTGTGATGGATGGGCTCCACCTGCTTATCTCTTGTAAACTCGGGTCTTTCCTTCTGGCTCATTCTGGGCATATTGTCACTTGCAGAAGTTTTCTCAGGAGTGTTATGCATTCGAGGGGTGCCAAATGAGGGAATGGGGATACCAACAGCTCGAACTGGAGATCGGGGTCGAAAAACCTCAAAATCCACATCGGTTAGCTGATGAGCGTCTGGCCAAGTCCAATCTAAATGATTCAAGTTCAGTTAAATAATATATTTTATGCCTGTTATTAATAATGTAACTAGGCATTAGCATTTACAACAAACCTCTTGGCATCAAATGGATCAAAAGCCCCTGAGCCAGCATCATTTGGCCACTACGCAGCATGCAGCCCCAGCCACAGTCTGTGGTCAAAGAGGTGCCTTCTATTTGGGGAAACTCCTTCCTGTAGGTCATCCAAATACGAGATACAAAGGCCAGACGGAATCGCTCCACCTCGTCTGCAAAGAGTCAACACAACAGCATAGATCATATTAAACACATTATAGTTGAAACTAAAAAAGCAGCACTACATAAGCAGTTTTATACAGTGTTTTATCATTGGTTTGCGTGTAAAACATTACCTTCACTGTTGAGTAGAAATGACTGTCCCAGGATGTGGACTGGTGAGATTTTGTTGAAAGATGTTTTAGTCTTTATTGTCCAGCCTTTAAAATAAATAAGGAGAAAAAAGAAACTTAAAATGTTTCTGAAATATTTTGTTAAGGTAAAATTTTGCAAAGCCATACCACCAATTAACCAAAAAAAATTGTCAAGTGAAAACTGACCATATTTTACATTGTTCCAGGCTGAAATAAATTTTGCTTTCAGTTTGTCCACTTCATCTGGCTCTTCTCCTGCGTCTCTGGTGGGATCAGGAGTCTGAGGTGGCCTGGGGCCATAGCTGCTTTGTTGCCTGCGCATTTCTACAAGGTCTTCTTGCCTCACACCCCCGACATACTGCGCAGCACTGGGGGACACCGAGTTCATGGCTCAGATCTGCAGATCAGACTTCTTCATTCTAAATATAAACTGCAGCGAGGTGATAAAACAAGGATACTCAGTGAATTAATTTGATTAAGGTTAAATAACTCTAAAGAATTACATGTTTTGCATTGCTATCTGCAGCACTTTGGAAACTGTCTTGTTTATAAAATGTGCTATACAAATAAAGTTTGACTGGACTAGAAATTAAAAAAAAAATTGTTACACTTTAGTTTAGGGACCACATATTAATAGCTAGCAAATAGTAAAATGCATAATGGGTGCTTAATTACATCTTTGTTTATGTTTATAATGTACTTTCAATGCATTTTTGTCTAATGCCGTATTTTGCAAGTACTAAGCCATTAACTATTTTCTTTCCAGTGAGAATTATAGATGTTTCTGTACATACACTGAAATCTTAATAAGTACCAACTAATAGCAAGTAACAGCTAATTAGCATGCCAATTACCACTTAGTTAACATATCAGAGTGTCAGCAAAAAAATTAGCAATTATTAGCAAAGTATGAATGAAAAAACTTTAATAATGAAACCACAGGCATCCACTAATTACAGAAATTCAACGTACAAGTTAACAAGTATGCATTGCTGTAAGCTTTAACAGTATTTATTATTGGACACTTTAACATGTAAAAAAATTATGATGAAACAAATACATGTTCCTGTGTTTATTACTCAATTCACGTAGTGTAAGGAAATAACTATGACTGATGACTCATGTTGTAACAATAATTATCCATTCAGTCAACCCTTTTCAGCGATTGCACAACGTCTGAGTAAAGGAAACTACAACAATTATTTCTACTCTTACGTACCTGAAACACATGAGCAGCAGTTTCAACAAGGAACAAAAATACAACGCCTTGCAATGCTGGGAACTTTTCTCTGTAGAAAAAAAAAAGACATCATGTGATGAGCATTTGTTCTCTGTCTGGCGTCCTAATCTTTAGAAGACAACTATTATAATGCAACGATTGAACACACAACAGTTTAAAGATGTTGAACATAATCTGTCAACAATCCTCTTGAGTTGTTGGTAGTTTTGTTCGATTCTTGATATCTTTAATTTACTACCACCAATCACTTAAAACCGTATTTGTATAGCACTTTTCATACATACACGATGTAGCACAGTGCTTCACACAAAAACAAAACAGCAAGAGAAAACAGAAAACCGCACTTATATATCAAAGTAAAGAAAAAACATAAAAACATAATATTAATAATAATTCAAAGCTCTTAAAGGAACTGTTAAAAGATTATAAAAATAAAACAAATAAATAAAACAAATAATAATAAATAGTAAAAACCCAGTAAGATGAATAAATTTAAAATGTAATAAGTAAATATTAAAAGATAATACTAAAAATGTAGAATAACAGCAGTTTATGAACAAGATAAAATAAAAAGATATGGTTTGAGTTTACTTTTTATCTGCTTACGTTTCCACCTGCACCTTGATCCTTTATCAAAATAACACTTACAGCGCACAAAGCAAGTAAAATAAATATCAAACGACGATATTTTATTTGGATTCCTTAAGAAATTTATAGCATTATGGTAAATTAATTGTCTGCTAATGCCAACTTGCTAACCTAGCCCTTTACTACTGATAGTACTAGCCCGGACATGCTCACCCGGGAGGGGAAACAAAAAAAAAAAAAGGGAAACCAGAGCACTTACCAGAAACACAGGACGCTTCAGGTTAAAATCCGACAAATAAACGGAGTTAAATAATGTTAAAATGAGAGGAGAACCCATCTGAACAGAGATAGCCCTATAGCTGGGCTCAGTTCTCCGGTTTCCTTCGTCCAGTCGCGAGAATCCCGTCACTTCCTGTTGTCCTTTTCTGCTGCTCTCTGATTGGTTCAAAGGGACCTGACTGCTTGGTGACTCCAGTACACTGCACTTAGACTTAAACAAACTTGATTGATCCACAAGGGAAACAAAGATAAGTGTTAAATAAGCCATAATTATGTAAATCTAAATAAAATAGAAAAAAATTGTCAGAGGACAACAGTGCAACAGTGATATGATGATTGACATGACATAGGTTATCCGCTACATAAAGGTGAGTTACTGTACAGTGGTAGGGAGTATTATCTGTTACATAAGGGTGAGTTACTGTACAGTTGTAGGGAGTATTATCTGTTACATAAAGGTGAGTTGTTTTATAGTTGTAGGGAGTATTATCTGTTACATAAAGGTGAGTTGTTGTACAGCTGTAGGGAGTATTATCTGTTACATAAGGGTGAGTTACTGTACAGTTGTAGGGAGTATTATCTGTTACATAAAGGTGAGTTGTTTTATAGTTGTAGGGAGTATTATCTGTTACATAAAGGTGAGTTGTTGTACAGCTGTAGGGAGTATTATCTGTTACATAAGGCTGAGTTGTTGGACATTTCTAGGGAGCATTATCTGTTGGATAACAGTGAGTTGTACAGTTGTAGGGAGTATTATCTGTTAGATAACGGTGAGTTGTTGTACAGTTGTAGGGAGTATTATCTGTTATATAAAGCTGAGTTGTTGTACAGTTGTAGGGAGTATTATCTGTTACATAAGGCTGAGTTGTTGGACATTTCTAGGGAGCATTATCTGTTGGATAACAGTGAGTTGTACAGTTGTAGGGAGTATTATCTGTTAGATAACGGTGAGTTGTTGTACAGTTGTAGGGAGTATTATCTGTTATATAAAGCTGAGTTGTTGTACAGTTGTAGGGAGTATTATTTGTTACATAAATGTGAGTTGTTGTACAGTTGTAAGGAGCATCAGGCGAGCTAATCTGTGCTGTAAAAACAGGGTGACCAGACATCCCTATTTCCCTGAGACAGTCCTGGTTTTGAGCTCTGTCTCCCCTGTAGATTTATCCAAAACTAGTGATTTGTAGCAGTTTTATACAAGAAATGTCCCAGGTGTTCCTATTTTTAACCAATTTGAACCCTGCCAACAATAAAGAGAAGCATACATTGTCATTTGTTCAGGTAAAATATAGAAAAGCTACTTAAAAATGACCAAAACACAAAGAAAATGTGATTATACTGACTCACATGTTAGTCGTGAATGGACCGAGTGCATATCATTTTTATTTTTTTTATTATGCACTTGATACACAATTTTACTATTACCAACCACCACAAACTAGAGGTATCTTAGTTTTTTATTTTGAAAATCTGGTCACCCTGTTAAAGAAGTCCCTTACACATATAATTACAGTCACAAGTTAGCTAATATTAGTCAGCAGTTTTTCAGTTAGGTTAGTCACTCACCTTTCTGTTGAAAATCAAACACTCAAACAGGTCAGGACAACGCTCATACTGATCACAAGCTCCTGAAAATGTGTTCTTTAAATCCATTTTTTCTTCAGACCATCGCACAACTTTTTGACAGATGTTTGCATTGTGTCTCCATGTTAACACTGAACATATCACCATAGAGATACATGTAGAACACCCCAGTGTGATGCCACTCAAAATCGCTGGGTTTTAGATGACATCACAATAGTCTATAGGCCAGTCATATTTAATACAGATGGGGGTCAGCTAAAATGAATATTATTAAAATTCAGCTTTTTGTTGTAATGCAAGAGGTTAATTTGTCTAGTCACTAATAGAAATCATCAAGTTCAACATTTGTGAATTGACTTTTTGAATATTTCAAGGCGAAGTACAGTGTTATTAACAAATATAAGAAAAACAAACAATTAAATGATATCCAATTAAGAGCACAGAGGGAGGAGTGTGAGAAGGGACTAGATATATTTAGTGTTATTGTAATTTTTATCATTGTTTGCATATTGTGGATTTTTTATTTTTGTGTATTCTGTGTTTTGTATGGCTCAGGGACTGGAGATGGAAATTAGCTCTGATAGTCTGGTGCAAAGTATCTCTTCAATGTTTCTTTGATTAAAGGTCCTTGTAAAATAGACTAAATAAACTAAACAAAATAATAACTATGCACTGGCACTGCAATAAAAATGTGGTCTGGACAAATATATATTCCTTAATTTTATTACATATACTGCAGTCAAGGTGTCTGTTTTAAATCACATCTATCACAAACAAAAATGTCCCATGATATAAATAAATACACTTTCAGTGAACAGAGAAACATGGAATGTTTTTTCATATGTTGACATTCGTGTTTCTTTCTATACACTTTATATTTGTAAATAATCATATTACAATTAAGTCTTTCCCAAATAAAGTGCAATTGAACTGACAAGCACAATATTTTCACATCTAGCACTAGTACAGAGCACAGAGGCCTGGAAAAGCCTTGAAGTGAACATGGTGGTTAAGATTTACTGTTTGCTTTATCAGATTAAAGATGACCCAGTTTACAAAAAAATATAAAAGTAATGATGTAAATAATTAATGTTAACAGTCACATCAACATTGTAAAAAGCATATGTGTTCAATTGCCAACTTTAACTTCCACATAGTCGTCAGAATCTAAATATTATACTTTGTACTCTGGACCTTATGGCTAGTTCAGTGATTGTGGTGTGTGGTTTGATCAGTTTACAGAAGAGAATTCTACAATGGACACTGGGGGGCAGCACAGTACCAGTCAATGCAGGCTTCTCTTTTTCTTTAAACCAATGAATACAGTATTTGAATGGACTCAATATCCTCTTAGCTATAGACACATTACTTACTAAAATAACAACCCTTCCTGTTGCCTTAGCAACAAATTTTGAGGAATTAAATCTGTAATTAAGTAATATTCTGTGTATTTAGACATTCCAGTGAGGCCTGATTACTAGAGGAATATCTACGGGCAAAGAAGGCAACAACTTTTAGGTTATTTAAACATTCTATTAACAAAGCAGATAAAGCAGATTTTGAGAACCTTTTTGCCAAGTTCAAAACAACTGTACATTACTGTAAGTATAAAATTATGAGTTATAAAATCAAATCTTATGTAGTTTGTATTGGTACACAAATTATACTGAAATACTATATACTACTAGTCTTTCCATTGTTGTTCATTTAATACAGCCGTCTGTAAGGTCATTGTCTCTCAAGGATATTAAATCTACCAAAAGCCCTTGTAAATATGCTACATTCAAAAATGCTTTCTCTCATTCCAATACACGATATTTCCATTGTGTATGTGCTTATGTCATTTCTGCTTTAAATGCCACCAAAAGCAATCTAATTGTCATTAATATTTCCAAAAGGAATCTTAAAATATATAATTATAACAGGAAATGTTATTCTAACACATTTCTGTACCCAGTCACATCCTCACACAGGGAAAGGATTAAATGCATCAAAATCATTGCTGACACTGCTGCCTACTGTGGCACTGTGGTTAAGTGGATATTAGTATGAGCGTGAGGCTGGAGTCGTTTAGGCAAAGGGAGGCAGAGGCTTTAGTGGCCTCCTGCACAGAGCAGATAAGCTCTGAGCTCAGCTCCTCCAGACGCCGGACGCAGCCTTCAGCGACCAAGAGAAAAGGCCTGAGGTAACGCACATACAGACTGTGGTGCACTGTCCACTAACTGAGAACTGGATAAATTATTCATTTAATGCTGCATCACTTTAGTTTTTATTCAGTCATTACCAGAGGAAAAGAGCTGGCTAAAAGAAATGAGACACTGGATTTGGTTTTCACAGTATTCAGCATGTTTTGATCAGTAAAGCACTTTTGACCATTTGAATTAATCAGTAAATGTACAGTATCATAAGTCATGCATTCACAGACACACACATAAACATCAGATAAAGTGTCCATTGTTACATTGGAGGAGTCCTCACATTTAATCATTTGTGATAAAAATGGTACAGTTAGTGCACCTAAGAGCACATTAGGCCCCCTGGTTTTAAGATCCTCCAGTGATTCAATAAATAGCATATTTATATAGTATTTTCAAATTCAAACTGGAATGTACAGCGTAATAAGTGCTTTAACGTCAGTTCAAAAAAGGCATTTGTTGAAACAAGGTTGCATTTACAGACCTATGTTTTCAGATTTTAGGAGGGCTGCTTCCTGTAGCAGCTTTTTCCAGAGGTGAACTGGCAGGACTTTGGGTCACTACTGTTGTCCCAACAGTGACTCGACCCCCTGAAGAAGAGTCACCTCTGCCCCCTGTGCCCACCTGCTTCTCTTCTGCTCCTTTACTCTGCTGCTCTTTGCTCTTTGTCCCTTCCTGGGACCCCAGTTTGATGGGTGCAAGGACATTTTTGGCTACAGTGGTCAGCTGGCTTACAAAGCTTGTCTTGTCACCAGGGGAGACAGGTCGTGATTTACAAAGGGAGGGTCCACAGAGGGAGGGGGTGACAGCTGTCGGTGACGGTGAGGGCGAAGGTGAGTGCTCTTCCACCACCTCAAGGCGACACTTGTCCTCCCAGTCGAGAGTGCCTCTGTAGCAGTTGACAGACCCCAACCCCTGACGAACCTTTCCTAGTGACAGGGGCTGTCCATGTGGAGGGACCACTGGAGCCAGTACTCTCGGCTGGAGCTTGGGGCTTTTGGAACCAATATCATTACTTTCCTTTCGCAAACTCTCCCCCATTCCGGATGATTTCAATGTTTTGTTCATTCCGAGCATGTTTTTATCCACAGAAGGAGACCCCTTGTTGATGGCAGCACAGCTTAAGCCAGAGTGGCTTTTGTTGTTTACTTCTTGCTTTAGGTGCTCCTTTGGGTCATTATTATAGGACACTTTTCTTTGTTCCAGTTTTGAAATGAAATCTGTCTGATTCTGGTGAGCTTTAACAGATCCTTTCTGGCCATCTAGAATCTCCGTAGGTTTGGTTGGGGTGCCAGCAGCTTTAGTAGCATCTACATGTCCTCTTGTGTTCTGTTCAATTAAAAACAGGTCATGCTGAGATCTTCTTTGACCTGCAGGTCCAAGTCTGCTTGGTCTTTCTAAAACTGGCTCAGATTCTCTCTCTGTCCCCCTTTCCCGTCCTCTCTCGCTCTCAGCTAAGAGCGTCTCCCTGCTAAGAGGGGACTCCTGCCTGCCTAGTCTCCTCACAGGCTTAAGCACTCCAGTTTCAGGCAGTGATGATGAAGATGAAGATGAGGGCATAGCAGGGGGATTTGGAGGTAAATTTTCTCCATCTGTCTCAAGTAAACTCTGCAGGCCGAGCTCAGAAAGAAAGGCGTCCTTACGGTACTCAGAGTGCTGCACTTCCAGACTGTGCTTCCTCAGTGGACCTCCCAGACCCCCTGTTGAACTGGACTGGGTCAAAGGTGAGCCCAGTTTCTCTGCCGACTGCACCCGCTTAAGAAGAGGCGATCGTGGGGGCTCAGCACTCTTGGGCCGGGGTCGGACCACTGGTGGAGAGGAGTGGAGTTTGACAGGAAAAGACTGAGTAGTGTTGGAGCTGCCTACAGTGTGACCGGGCAGAGGAGGAGGAGATGATTGCGTGGGAGATGGGGTGTGAGCCAGAGGAGACAGGGGAATATTACCAGCAGATTTGCACCGGGCAGATCGATACTGGCGGTGCAGCTTAGGGGACAGGCCATGCAGAGAGCTTGGCCTCATGTGCTGAGAGGGAGCGGGGGAGTTTGGCGTGCTTGATGATGAAGAACTGCTTTGAGATGACGCACCTAAAATAAAAAACAAAAACAAAAAACTATTAAATTTTTATTACTTATAAACTGTATAAAGAAGTGGACTAAAGGATTGTGACGACACCCATAGCGTTGGCTCCAGTCAAATGAAGCTCATCGAAGCTGATGTTATATGGGTGAATTTGGAACCAAGTTCCATATTAGGAAAAGGAATTTGTTTACGAAAAAATAGGGAAATAAAAACAGTCGATGGAGCCAAAAGCACTCCCATGCTCACTTCCTGTTTGGAACGTGGCGACTAGTATAGTTTTCTATACTTTTTCCACATGATTCTTACCCAGATAGGAGGGCTCAGGGGTGGAACGGTATCCCTGAGTGGGTGACCGCGCCGACAGGCTGTGTGTCGGAGAGCCAGGAAGACTTTCACTTGAGGACAAGGAGCGGTTTAGAGACGACAGGCTACGGCTTGTGTGAAGGAGGTTGGACTGTTTTGTGATCTTGCGAAACAGAGAACTGCGCTTTTTACTGGAAAAAACAATGGCAAAGAGTATTACTAGTTATTTTTATTTAAAAATATATAAAAAATATCTTATCATCAAAATGATTACTAACAATGAATGCAGCCATGCCATATGATTGACAATAACAAGTGAAGATTTACTGTACCTGTCTTGACTGTCTTTTCCAATGGTCTTTTTATTTCGTCTGGCCATTTTACACTTATAACTGGCTTTACGGGCAGGACCCACTTTAATAGAGGTGTTTTCAAATGGAGTAGTTGTCACTGTCACCTTATTACCACTCTGTAAAGAATAGAGATTTAATATTCATCAGGAGCAGAACTGGTGGTAAATACAGAAAATGTAAAAAAAAAAAACAACAAGTTTATAAGAACCAGTTCTGTTAGCATTCCTGACAGAGGAATCTACTAAATCATGATTGAGACCATTCATGTTATGAATAATGTCTAAATTTCAAAACCCATTAGCTTTAAGGTCACTTGGAAATGAGGGTACTTTATTAAAAAAATGATTAACAGGCTGATTTAATCCATAATTATCAATAAGAAAAGTGGTGACGTTAGTGGCTTTGACATTAGTGGAAGTACCTTGAGAATAAGTTCAACCACTTCAGTGTGGACCAGACCATGGACAGGCTCTCCATTGACGTGAGTGATGAGGTCACCAGCACACAAACCAGCTTCCTGAGCAGGGCCACCATCCTCCACATGCTAGAAACACACACACACAAAACACAAAATGATGAATGTCAGGGCAGAGTGGAGAAACGTTAAACAGAAAGTAAAATACCTCCTATAATATACCTGCTTCACACATGTTTAGATACTTATACATGCACAGTTTTGTAAAGACACTTACCAGTATTTACCATTTTTAAACTAACTGGGTGCCATTCTAGAGCGACATCCTCTTGGGTAAGAAATTTATTTCTGTCTTATACAAATTGATACAACATATGAAACCTACTCACTGGTAAAAAAAAATAAAACTGTGTGGGAAAAAGACATTGCGGTTGACTTGTTTGATGAGGAGTGGAAATTTTGCCTGACTCATATACATACTTCCTCTCTTTGCATTCGCTATGGTTCGATTTAGTTTAAAATACTCCACCGTCTCCACTACACAAGAGAGACTGCTAAAGACTTTTCCCGGGGTGGATCCTGCCCCAGATGTGACCATTTTCCAGCCATTGTTCTGACACATGTTATGGTCTTGCCCCATTCTTGACAATTTTTGGTGAATTATATTCCAGGTGTTATCTCACATCAGTGCACAGGACTGATTTTCATATTGCCATTTTTGGAATTATGTCACCCAATTACAAGGGTAATAGATTTCAGGATGCATTAAATAGATTACACAGTGGTTAAAGGAGATGCTTTCTTTCCTACCACTGAAAAAGCTTAGAAACAGGTGTTAGGTATTATCATCACAACAGAAATTTTCTATGACCTGGAACCCATTTGTTGATAATGTGAAAATATTCTCTTTTGAGGTCTAAATGACTAAATGTAAATGTTATTTATTGTATTTTTTTTTCTTTTTTCTGAGCCTCCAGTGGGCTTTGAGGGGGTCATTTTTATTTTTAATTAAATTTTTTTATTTTTCATTTCCATTGTGCATTACTTGAAAAAAAAAACTGAAAATTACTATATATTATCATAGGTGTTTTCTGGGTAACGTAACAGACATAATATGAACACAAAACACCACACATCTTTGTTCTTACCCAGACAATGTGGTGGACACTGTAGATGTCACTGTCTCCTATGTAGACTCTGATAGCCCTGAGGGTGAAGCCGTATTTCTTCCCCGAGCGGTGGATAGTGATGGGAGAGCGCAGCACACTCACTGCCGGAAAGAAGTCTCTGCTGGGAGATGAGTCCCGAGATGAAGGGTTTGAGGAGAAGGAGTGAGGAGACATAGGACTCGCTAAAGGAGAGAAGCCCCCATGTTGATCCACTGAAGACAGAGTGTGTATTAATATTTGATCCACACACACATTTAGCCCACAAGATTATTTATTTTTTGCATTACCTGATGGTATAATAACAGACAGAGCAGTTGCAGAGGCTGACTTAATGACTTTGTTTCCAGTTCTTGAGTTGCGTTTTTCACCATCTGCTGGTAATGGCTTCTGACGTGCTCTACGCAGCACTAGATCATTGGTGACTCGTGGGCCAAGAGGGTCGTATAAAGGTGTGATCACATCCCGATCGGGGGCACTGAGGCCAGGGGACAGTGTGCTGACACTTGTAGTGGTTGCTGGAGGTTCTCCTTGTTTACAGGTCTTGTCTGTGAAAGTGTTGATAAACATGTCATTAAATATAGCTTTGGAATGTGTTTGCAAAAGTCTGCACCCACACACTCAGCAGAAAGCTAATCAGGTGTCAGTCACATATGTTTCACCACCTACACAGTCAGTTCTCTAAGTTTTCTATTTTTCTTATAGAACAAAATGCACATACCTGCCCCATTGATCTCCTTCATGTTGTTCCTCTGCTCTAGGATGCTTGGCGAAGGGACACATGACCCATCCAGAGAAGTCCCACGGACCCTGATGGGGTTGGGGCGAGTCACTGATTCAGACTCTCCCTCCAGAGGGGAAGCAAAGCGGTGCGTGTCCATTAGAGCTGAGAAACGCCGTCGGGCAGCAAGAGGTGGGCTGGCATCACCCTCCATGTAGACAGACTCTGAATAGGACAAACGCTTCCTACAAATATACAGGGCACATCACCACACCGTGTCTTAAAAAGTGAAAAGTGCTGAAATGTACACATGAAAATTTAACAAAGTTGAAAGACTCGCTTGACTTTTTTCTCTAAACATTCACAACACAATTTTCTAAATGTATTAACTCACATCTCAGGTGATCCTGTCCTCCAGCCTTTGTCTCTCATGCTGAAGCTGCCCAGACTCTCCCTCTTGGTGACCCGGTCCTCCCTTGGGCTCCGGTGCTCTCGACGGGAGACAGAGCTGGTGGCTTTTTGCTCCAACTGAGCAAGATGCTCCATACTGCTGTAAACCTGAGGCATGATTTCAAACACATTACTCTGCAGCAGGTGTCTTTTATGTGCCTTTATCTGCATTTGCATGCCAAAAATGTACTACTTTCATACATATGGAGAGGAATTTATGAAACCATTATGAACTAGATTTTTTGTTTTACTAAAAAAATTCTAAAAAAAACAAAAAAAACAGAAGATTGACAAGCAGATTATACAGATTATTCTGGTTCAAAAGTTAACAAAGAACACGAACAGCTACAAAACAATTCAGTTTGAAAACACATAATTAAGTAGACAGAGGTATGGCCACTTTTACTGGATAAATCAACACTGAGTAACACAGCTGTGTGGGGGAGGACAACAGTTTAAGTCTAAAGAATAGTGCACCATGGTAACAACTACTGCAGCTGTGTCTTAGTTGTGTTAAGTACAACAAAGATAAGAACCATATTAATAAGATAAACAAGATAGTAAAAGACTTCATTTAGTATAAAACAAGATAATCTGTTATGTGTCAGAATGAGTTAACAAACAAAATTAAATCCAATGTGATTATGTTTGATAGTATTAAACATATCAGACCACAATCCAAGTAGAAAAAATGCAAGGAAGGAGCATGGCATATAAAGGAGAGTGATAATCAGAATTATGATGAATTGTTTGGAAAATTACACTGAGAAAAGGCCACTGAACAACACTGCAAATTGAACAAACAAAGATCAACAGAGAAAATGAGTCTGAACAGGCACTGAGTAAATTTCAAGCATGTGACCTGTTCTACACACCAGGTGCTGAAATCCTGACCCATTTTCATCTTTTATCCCCCCTTTGAGTCTCATCAAATTACTTTTAGGGCGACATGCAATACTGTGTGCCTCTGTGTAAATGCCAAAGACAGGAAGATTAAGGGAGCTGAGAACAGAGGGACAGAGGAGCGGGGTCAGACCTTGCTGAATCGGGGACTACATGACGAGAACTGTCTGATCTCCACAGGCTCATCATCGTTGGTGTCATCCTCTTCATATGTGTTGATGTGGTGATAGCGGTCTGAGCGCGCTGGAGAGAAAATAAAACAGCACTCAGCCTCTGTCAAAGCGTCACTGTCCACATAAACCTCTTCAGTGGAAAAGGGGTTATAAAATAAACATTGTGGTACATACTGTCAAAGTAGCTGGTGTCCTCCTCTGACTCGAGGTGAGGGACAAATTCAGCCTTTTGTCTCAGTAAACTGTTCCAATCCAAACCAGTGAAGAACGAATGCTCTTTCACTTCAATGGCCCCACCTAACACAGTCCCCCATATTAAGTAATACATCAGATTAAGCTCATTTATGTAGTCCTAAAGATTTTCATCAGTGTTCAGATGGCATACCTGTCCCTAATCTCACAAGTGGATTGGTTTGTAGTAGAGAAGATATGAGAGACTGAGCATCTGCAGGCAACGCATCATCCCCATTTGGCCAGACAATATCATCTGAGTCAGAGATAGAGAAAGGTCAGAATAACACGAGACCTCCAGACCTAACACAATAAAACACAGTGTCTTACCTGTGATTACTTGCCCAAACAGCTCCTCAGGGGTGTCTCCAAAAAAGGGCACACATCCCACCAAGAACTCATAAAGGATAATCCCCATGGCCCACCAGTCCACAGGTTTCCCATATCCCTGTCGTAGAATCACCTCTGGGGCGATGTACTCTGGAGTGCCACACACCTGACACAACAGAAAAGAGAGCACTGTGTTTCAGCCTGTCTATTTCATTGTGTAGATTTGCTTTATAGGGCCCATATTACGCTATATTTTATTTATGTTATGATGTACGCTATTTTTTATTTATGTCAACATACCCGGATGTTATAATGTTCCTCATCATAAACACACTCAGAGTTGTGTTTTGTTTCATTCTAACACACATATCCTGCATATTCAGGCTGATTTTTGTTCCACCTTGTGATGTTATGTGGTAATACAAGTACTTCACTGTGTTTTTAGCTCCATACACCTTCACCAGAATCATTCTGATAATGTCAGCTACCTCTCTCTAATGAAGAAAAGGTAAAAGATAGCTGTTAACCTGAAAACTACTGCTTCATGACATCATAAGGTGGAACAGAGCATTTTCAGTTTTGGAGATATAGATAACCTAATAATAAAGGATTACTCAAACATGTGTAAGTGAAACAAAACATATCTTAAAGATCACAAGAGTCAAATGTGTGTAATATGGGACCTTTAAAGTTTACTAAATGAGCCACTACTGCCCAGAAGAAAAAAATAATGGGCTGATTATATTTATAATACTGTTATGCATGTATAGTAACACACCTGTTTATCCAGGAACTCTCTGGCATCCTTTTCTATGTGGCCTTCATACAGGTTGGTGGTTAAGCTCATTAGACCCATCTTCGATAATCCAAAGTCAGTGAGCTTGATGTGTCCCATAGAAGTGATTAAAAGACTGTTCAGAAGCAAAACAGCAAGTACGTTAATATTAAAGTAAAATAACACAGCAGTAACTGTAGTAACCACTAGAGATGGGCTTGCAAGAAATAAAAGAAAATGATTTTGTGATATTTATCTTTAATTTAATTAATTTTCTGCCAATCTGTAACCAAATCATAATATGCAGTGACATCACACTTGGGGTGTTTTACATGTATCTCTACTGGCGAAATGTTCAGCAGTTACCATAGTGGGCACACTCCACACATTAGCAAACAAGACAAAAGAAATAAAGTAAAAAAACAAAGGTCAGATTAAAGTCTAACTGTAGTAAGCTACAGACAGAGCAGTGCTTACAGTTAGCATCACACCCCCAGGGAATTTTTTATGGCATGAGACACAGATGTATCTGTTACACTAGCAATAATCTTGATAATGATTTGCTATGTACTTTTACTGAAAATAATGTGTAAGAAATTTGTTTTGGGATCTTGTGGGATTTATGTCTTGTCCCACCCAGAGACTGTAGAAGTGGACCAAGGGAGTTTGACGTCAGCCACAACTTTAAGGCTCCATATTAGAAACAGGAATTTATTTCCGGACAAAACAGCAAAATGAAAACACCAGGATCATATAGAACGGGACATGACGAAGCTCACTGCAGAAGTTACAAAGAGAGGGGTGACGTTTTTCAATGTGAAGTCAATTGGAGTGTGCCCATGCTCACTTCCTATTTGGAACACAGCAACTAACAGTTTAGCAGTTTAAGGTCCCACCTTAAGTCAGCACTCACTTGTCAGGTTTGAGATCACGGTGCACAATGCCATAGTTATGAATGTATTCAAGAGCTAAAAGAGTTTCAGCAAAGTACATCCGAGCAAGTTCCACTGGCAAAGCCCCAATGTTTTTCAACAGAGTAGCACAATCACCACCTACAAAACACAAAAAAAATTTTTTAAATGTATACAGATCTTATGTTCAATTTGAAAAAAATAATAGTTTTACCTTCGACATACTCCATGACCATGCATAGGTGCCTGCGTGTTTCAAATGAGCAGAACATGGACACGACAAAGGGATTTTCAGCAAAGGTTAAAATGTCTCTCTCCACAAACGCTTGCTCGATCTGGTTCCTCAAGATCAGATTTTGTTTGTTGATCTTCTTCATGGCAAATCGCTGGCGTGTTTCCCGATGGCGCACAAGGTAAACAGCTCTAAAGGGATGATACAAAACAATGAAAATGAGCATTTAAATGAGCTGACCATATGTTTGTATTTACCTTTAAACCCTGTGTTACTAGTGATATTTTATGAAGACCATTTTATGAAAACCCAAAAGGCATAAAAAACTATAAAATATAAAAATAAAAAGACTATATTGCACATTAAAGCTCGTGCTAGAAGGATGTTATAATGTTCCTCATCATAAACACACTCAGAGTTGTGTTTTGTTTCATTCACACGTTTAAGCACTTCTTCTCTCAAACTGAAAACAAACACTCCTCCATGTCATGTCATGTGGTAATACAAGAAGTGCTCCATTGTTTTTAAACTCCATACACCTTCACAAAAAATATCTGGATAATTTCAGCCCTGGAATTATCAATCTTTACTGAACTAAAGGTAAAGGTTAGCCAGGCTGGCGCCACCTAGTGCCTCCGCTCAATTTAATTTCTTTCCAGCGACTAGGTCAGGAATTGGAATACATAGATGGTTTGAAAGAACCTGGAAGTGCAAGTCCGGGCATCAGCCAATCAGTGAAGCATCATACATTCTGTGTAGGCGACAATTCCCGAGATCAAGGATTTAAAGTAGGAACAAAGAGAATGTTTGGTGAATTTTATCAAGGGGAAAGACGTTATTGCCCTTCTTCCTTCAGGATTTGGGAAAAGCTTAATATACCAGTTAGTCCTGTTAACAACGCATTACATACGTCACAACTAAATAGCAGCGATTGGTTAAATTAAAGAAAATACCTGCCTACCATCGAGCGAACGAATTCTAATGCTGCGAGGTCAGACAGTTTCCATGAAGTGATGAATCAGGCTAGGTAAACGTAGTTGCTAACTAAAAAACTACCACTTCATGACATCACAAGGTGGGATACAGCATTTTGAGTTTTGAAGATGTAGACAGACTAATAAGGGGTTACTCAAACATGTGTAAATGAAACAAAACACAACTCTGAGTATGTTTTTGATGAGGTAATAGCATTTTAACATGTCTTAAAGCTCACAAGAATCTATTTATTATAATATAGGACCTCTACTGAACTTTTCTGAAGTCTACAAAATTAAAATAACAGAGTAGTTTTTGAACAGTGGTAAAATATGGATTTTCAGGTTTACCCGTATGCCCCGTTGCTGATGAGTTTGATGGTTTGAAAGTCCTCCTCAGACGGCGGCTTGATGGCTCTTGGTTTCCCCTGATGACAATAGCATAGTTTAAATTCTTTCAGCATGGTTTTAGCATACATTTAAAATTCAGATGTGAGAATTTGAGTGCGTTCACCTCTGTTGAATCATCTGTCTCTGGAGTGTGTGGTCCTTCGCTGTCATAGCTGTCGAGACTCACAATTTCTGTGGCAAAAATATTAGCGCACATGTTAGCCCACTGTCATGATGAAAAGAAAAACAGTCAGTGCCCAAACAGTAGCCTCCCACGCCGTCTTGTTAAATCTCGAAGCTGGTAAGATTTAACAAAACATCTATTCAGGTTTAGAAACAGCAAAGAAATAAAACAAAAGAAAGAAACATGTTAATAGTGCCTTTGTCTTTTCATTTCTCCATCCCCCACAATTTACACAAGCAGATTTGGCAGATAGTTCTTTAGCACTTTTGCATTTGACAGCTGCTTGGATACAATGTTTAAAGACTGTGAGGAAATAACTGACTGATAATTACTCGTCATGACGACAAAGCCATTTTGCAGTTATTAATTTCTTGTAGCATAATTGAGCTGCACACAAATGTTGAGTCTCAAAATGAAAAAATAAAAACGTGAATACTTGTGGGTGTTCTTGTGCTCACTGCGCCATGAGTGGGTGTACACTACAGCACATATAAGACATAAGACAAATACTGAGATATTTCTTCGTAGTTAGTTAATTGCGTGTAAAGATTTATTACTATTGAAACCTTCTTGCTGATGAACAGGCCCTGATGGATTAGACTGCAGATGTGAATTAGAGCTGGGCCTGGATTTAAAGCATGTTGATTAATGGAAGACTGAACAGAGCAAATAGTGCAGCTTTCAAAGGCTCACAATGACCGGCTGCACAGAGGAGACCACTATGTTAGCGCTTAATTATTAGTTTCCACTTTCACTAATTGCTGATAAATACAAGCTTTTGAACGTGATCATTTCATTATTAGCTCTCAATATTTTAATCGGTTTCACATTGCGCAATCCTCATAGTGCCATGTTTCATACTTCAGTCATATCTTATCATTAAAGGGCCCATGTTACGCCATATTCTGATCTGTTATAATGTCATTTCCTCATCAAAAACATACCAGGAGTTAAGTATTGTTGTATTCACAGATGCTTAACACACAAACTCTGTACATTTAAGTTGAGTTCTTCTCTCAAACAGGAAACAGTCTGTTCCACATTGTGATGTCTCGTGGTAATGCCAGAAGTGCCCCACTGTGTTTTTAAACTCCGCACAGTTTCACTAGAATTGTTTGATGATTTCAGCCCTGGAATTGCCCATCTTTACTGAATAAAAGGTATAAAGTAGCTGTTAACATAATGTAGACATATTAATAATAAACAATTACTCAAACAATTGTGAATGAAACAAAACACAGCTCCAAGTATGTTTTTGAGGAGGTGACAACATTGTAATATGGCTATAATGTAATTTTTTCTCAATTTTGTGTAATATAGGACTTTTAATATATTACAAATATAATGTAATGATGTAATAAAAAGTGAGATGTGCTTATCTCACCCTCCAGTGGGTCTCTGGTCAGGCCCAGCTGGCTGATGATGTATCTGGGGATGTCCTCCTTCATCAGTTGTCCCTCTTTGGCATGGTCCTCCGCTGCCTCCAGCAGATGGTAGAACTCCTCTGGATTAAACTCCTGAAAGAATCACACAACCGTGAATCAGTTATAATATCATTTAATGTAATTACTTAAATATGATTATGATCACTTCATTCAAGTTAATTAGGCACAGTCATAACACAGTGCAAACCATTTACAATTAAATTAACGTCTTTGTTTCTCTGTTCATCATGTAACTAACGTGAACATATTTATCAATGTAGAATTTATACATAGGTGCTCGATAAAAGGTGCACTGTGTAACTTTCAGGTGGAGGGTCTGCCGCCATGGAGATTTTGTTGCTTTGCCTGAAATTTTTCACAGTATGAAGCGCATGTATTTCCATGGTAACAAGCAATATGTCAATTTATTAGGGGTGTGCAAAAATATCTAAATATCAATATATCGTATCGTTTAATGTGATGATGCGGTATCAATATCGTGGGCTGCCGTATCGATATATCACCAAGAGCATTTTTTGGTATATTTTTTCTAAGTTATTTTATTACAGTTCTACAGTTTTGTTGCTTGTTTAGTGGAAGGAAACTCATTTATGCAACACATTTGACATATTCACTGTTTTGATGATTAAAATGGGCGTGTTTCATATGAACTTTGCTTAAGAAGTGGTTTAACAAAGACTTTTAGTATCACAGCCATGTTTTAGCTTTTATTTTTTATTGAACCTTATCGAATCGATTTGAAATATATCGTACTGAACTGAAAGTGCACTGTATCAAGATATGTATCATATTGGCAACTTCTTAATGATACCCAGCCTTACAATTTATGTGGGGATGCTGGCCCACTTACAGTAGAATGCATATTATTCAAGGTATTGTTTAAAAAAAAAACCATATAATTAAATAATGACCAAGTTTATAATGCCAGTCTGTGGTACCTTCCTGAGAAAGCAAACTTCCTCGCATATTTCCATGGACACAACGAGGTACTAGACTTATACCAGAAAAGCTACATAGCTTTTTAAAGAATTTTTCCTTGGGGACAAATAAAAGTAATTCTTATTCTGAAATTAAAATAGATTGATGCAGGTGTTTTAAACCTCAGTACTGGTATGGCATAGTCTACAGTCATTGTGTTCTCTAAACTAGGTGAACACAAACATACAGGTAGTCTACTCCTAGCACAACTCTAAATTGCATCCATAAAAGCCAAGTAAGAGTCTTTGTGAAGTCCAGTGGGATCCAGTCTTACTCCTGTTGCTGGAATAACATTTTGATTAGAAAGCAGCGCCTGAGGTTGCCAACATTATTTCTTCCCTCTCTCAAACCTTCCAGGCCAGCGAAAAGAGAGAGAGGTGCTGAGAGGTGTAAATTAGCCACCCTCTCTGATAGTTTGCATTGCTCCAGGATAATATTCTTCACCGTGGTTAGCTAACAACTAATCACGGTGTGACATTTCCACCAAATCAGACTCACTTAAATGCAGAATAGAGGTCCAAACAACAATGTATTTATGTGTGTTGTTTCATTCCAAGAAAGCTAAAAAGGTCTCTCACACATGCATGACCCCATCGACCTTTGCGCTGGTCGCTGTGGCAACAGAAAGATGAGCTGGGGCCGAAGGAGTTGAATATGTGATGCCATCAATCAGCAGCTAACGCGGTTTGGCCAAGCCTCCATTGTTGAGACTCTACAGCCTGTTCTTTCTAAGTGAAGTGAGTTATGCACAGACTGTATTGACATGCCAAGGACACAGTCTCCTGGTTGATTTGTTGTGCTCTCCCAACTCTTCAACCTTATTTTACACATTATAGCGTCCAATAATATCTGGGCTGGGAAGGTGGGGGAGGAAAGGTCCTATATTACACAAAATTCAAAAGTGATGTTGTAATGTTATGTGTCTGGAGTTGTGTTTTGTTTCATTCACACATGTTTTAGTAACACGTAATTAGTATTCTGTCCACATCTCCGAAGCTGGAAATGGTCTGTTCCACCTTGTGATGTCATACAGTGGTGGTTTTCAAGTTAATAGCTTTTAGGGCTGCTCGATTATGGAAAAAAATATTATCACAATTATTTTGGTTAGTATTGAAATCACGATTATTCAAACGATTATTTCTTAATGACACGATCCTTTTATTCAGTATTTTCTCTCTCTCTCAAAAAACAAAACAAAAAACTTTGTCATTGATAATTTACACAAAACTTTCAAATTGAAAATAAATATAGGCTACAAATAGGTACCTTAGAGCAGTTTTGCGATGTATAAAACATAAAATGAATAAAATATACTTTGAACATGAAATACGGCATAGAAAAATAAAAATGTATCCAAAATGAATTATATACCCAGCTGTTCTACAAGATGTTTGTTAAGCTTTATCATTTAAACTTGATTATATGAGTTTGTAGATCATTTGACCCACAAATTGAAATCGCACTCAAAATGCGATTAATTGCACAGCCTTACTATCTTTTATGATTTGTTTAGTGGAGATTGGCAATTCCAGATCTGATATAATCCAAATGATCCAAGTGAAGGTGTACAGAGTTAAAAAACACACTTCTTGTATTATCACATGACATCACAAGGTGGAACAGAGTGTTTTCCGTTTGAGAGAAGAACTTATAAATATGCAGGGTTTGTTAAACATGTATGAATGAAACAAAAAACAACTTCAGGTATGTTTTTGATGAGGAAATATAACAAAAATCAGAAAATAGCATAAAATAGGCCCTTTAAACATCTGGCCACCTGCATGCTGCCACCATATAGACATGAAGCAAAACTGATTTCGGTAATTCAGCTGAAATTGAAGTCAGGGGTTGCACAATCATCCCATTAGTAAGTCTCTTAGTATTTGGAAACAGCTTTAGAAACTCACTAGACACTCCAGTAGTCTGGCTGGCCTGGAAATGATGATAAAAAGCTTTTTCACCAGCTCTGTTACAAAAGTCAGCTCTGAACTCTCCGAGCGCTCATGGGCCTGTGGACACAAGAGGCAGGCGGTTAATTAAATCCATGTATCATTCCCCCACAGAGGTCAAAGGTCAACCCACATCGTGCAGCAGCTTCTCCAGGTTTTCCTGCAGTTCACAGAAGTACACACTGGTGATGAGGCCTTCGCGGGATTTGGCCAGACAGTCCCGGGACATCTCCGCGATCTGGTGGTGAATAAAACTCAGGACTCCGTCGGCCAGAGGAAGGGTATTCTCTGGAGAGTAGCTGTTGATGAACTCTGCCAGTCGCTCCTCCATCTGAGCTGTGGCCTGGTTGGGTAAAGAGGAGTTTTCATCAGTTAGTGCTTTTCTTTTTGCTTAGTTAGTAACTGTGTAAATAAAATGTATGAATCTATTAGAGCTACACAATACAATATATCACATTTTAATCAAAATCACAATTTAAGTTGGGGTAATGATCAAAGAGCAAAGGTTACAGTTATTTAGGTAATAGAATGTCCACTGTAAACCATAAAATATTTCTTTTGTGTGTGTGTTTTGTCTCATTCACACATTAGAATAATCCTTTATTATAAGTCTGTCTACATCTCCAAAACTCAAAATGCTCTGTTGACGATAAGTCTAAATACCCAGGATTTGTATGTTTAACATGTGTGAATGAAACGAAACACAACTCCAGGTGTGTTTTTTGATGAGGAAACAACATTATAACATAGGTCTGAAAATAGCAAAATATAAGCCCTTTAAATACTGTAATTCTTTTTTTATGTTACAGATCAGTAAATGTGCAACAAACACATAGCAATTTCATTTTCTGTATCTTGACCGCACACTGGTCTTATGAGAACAGCGCATTTATTGATCTCCTATTGTAACTGTGATCTTTCAGAGCTGGAAAACCTCTTATAATCCCTTGGAGCGCTGATTCAAAAGCAGGGAAAATTGTGTGTCTGTATTTGAAGGCAGCTGGCCTATTATTCACTGTCCAACCAATGCAATCAGACTCTGTTTTACTCTATAATTTCCCTGATGTTGGTGATGAAAATGATGATGAGAAAATGAGAAAATGTGTCATTATTGTAAAGGAGTTTTATAAGGTTTTAGCACCACACAACAGGAAATCAATGTTAGATATACAATAGAAAACAACATTTAAAGGGCCCATAATACACAAATTTATGATTTATGTTATAATGTTGTTTCCTCATCAAAAACATATCTGGAGTTGTGTTTTGTTTCATTCACACATGTTTGACCTACAAGTGCTGCACATTTTTATGTTGAGTTTTTCTCTCAAACAGAAAACACTCTGTTCCACCTTGTGATGTCATGTGGTAATACGGGAAATGCTCCACTGTGTTTTTAAACTACATGAAGCTTCTCTAGGATCATTTGGATAATTTCAGGTCAAAATTGTGGGTCAAACAATCTCCAAACTCACACAATCGAGGTGAGATGATGAAGCTTAACAAAGTCTATTTAGGGATATTTATTTATATAAATAAATAAGTATATTTATTTTATTTTTTTTATTTTGTAGAACAGCTGGATATGTAGTTAATTTTTGATACATTTATGTTTTTCTATGCCTTATTTCATGTTCAAAGTATATTTTACTCATTTTATGTTTTATACATCGCAAAACTGCTCTAAGTTATGTATTTGTAGCCTATATTTATTTTCCCATGGCATTATAAAATTGCCCATCTCTACTTAATGAAAGGTAACATATAGCTGTTAATTTAAAAAGTACCACTACCTGACATCACAAGGTGAATCAGAGCATTTTGAACTTTGGACATGTAGACACACTAATAAACCAGGGTTACTCAAACATGTGCAAATGAAACAAAACACAACTACATGTATATTTTTGAAGAGGTAACAACATTATAACATGAGTTGTAGCTCACAAGAGTCAATTTTGTGTAATATAGGACCTTTAAATGCAAGAAATAAAATATAAGTTTGTGTATTAGTTTCCATTTGTTTTTGTTTTTATCTTTGAGTGTTTGTGTTGTGGGAATGACCTTAGGGAATCGCTCCTTGTAGACATGGTTCATCATCACGATTTCATTGTCATAGCAGGAAGGGGAGCGCCCCGGGCTAAAGAGACACAAACATGGAGGAAAGGCCAGTAATATACCACTGACTGTGAGAATGAAAGGAAGAAGGGCAAAGAGGAGAGGCAACATCAAGGAAGAAAAATAAGCAATCTTGTTCTTTACTCTTGAAGAAAGGAATAATATTGTGTGTGCGTGCTAATCCTGTCTGTATTTTATGCTAATACAATCAATTGGAGGCTCAGCGCTGTCTATTTATCTAATGGATCTGGGTCTTTTCTCTATATCAAGCTGAAAGACGTTTTACACCTGTCAAAAACGGGCCCCAAAACTGCAGCAATGCATTTCTTGTGCTATGTAAGACTCAAAAGGAAGACAGTTTACAAGGAAACAGCATCCTAATGGGATTCCTGTCAACCTTATTTTTGACTCTGGAATGTTTTTCATAGAGGCAGTGCTGCTTTTCTTTTCTGCGGGATTGTCTGTGGGTTTTCTTCAAGGTGATAGGCAACAGCTGCAATTACTGAATAGTAGTCTCTGAATGAGTCTGCTCTTTTGATCGGTTCGTTAAAGGTCCACTGTGTAACTATTCTGGTGGAGGGTTTGTTACCTACTCGTCACCATGGAGATGCTGTTGCTTTGTCCAGAATGCTCCATAGTATTGCAATAAATGTATCTATCTCCTTGGAAACAAAAAAGTGACACCACCAAGCCAAGTTGCATATCAGATCTATAGCAAGGTGACCCTGCTCATGTTTTTTAAGGAAACAAAACACCTATAATAGAATAAATGCAAGATAAATAAGTTTAATGCCACTGTGGAACATGGAAAAAAAATCAAATGATAGACTCTCTACCAGAAAAGTGACTCAATGTACCTTCAACATGAAATTTTGGAACCAAATCAAATTTTTTAAAAGAACCAAATCGTTTTTTTTATAATTTTTTTTTTTTAGTTTTTCAGTTTTTTTGTTTTTGTCATTATTATTGTAGAGCACATTTTAGTTAGCTCGTGTATAATTTCAAAGGAAAAGCACTCTCACTCTCAGTTTGAACCATTTTAAACAAATCGGAGCCTTGGTCACTTCTCTCTGTTTAATTAATTTGTACATAAAATGAGTTCTCTCTTTGGCCTCTATCTTATAAAAAACATAAACAGCCAGTCTTTTGAACAATTCTTAGAAATGAATAGATCCAAAAGATTCAGATCCCATAAAAAAGTTGAAGGTCCTATCAGTAGCTGCAATTTTATCTGTACCATTGTCTGAATTTAATTTGATATAATGGTATCTGGCTCATGCTTTGGTTCTACTTACATCACCCACACAGCTACACTGAACATATTTACACTGACAAGGTGAGTGAAAAGTGCTTCAAACAACAATGAGTAGAGCTAGACTTGGCAATGATGTGCAATCTTTCAGGAGTATCTAAGTGTTTCTTTAACCTGCCACTCGTCACTCAAGATAAAGAAAAATCAATTTGACTAATCCTGACTCAATAAGCATACTGTATTTTACACCTGATACCAAAGTAAAAAAAAAAAAGGTGATTGTGAGAATAAACAAGGCATGTCTAGGCAGAGAGCATTTGTACTGGAAAAGCACAGGAGATGTTATCTAGGCCACTGACTGCAAAGAAGCTTCATATGAAAACTGCATACTGATAAGTACTGTCATGTTGTACACAGCCTGGGCTGCTGCATCCAGAGGGGAGGCTACATAAAGTACAGCTGGGTGAACTGATGATGGCATAACTGTACACTAGTACAATAATACTAGGAATGATATAATATTATACGATACACTAATAAATAATAAGAATATTTGTTCATAACATGGAGTTGACATTGAATTAGCGCCAACAAATTCATAGTTTTATTTTACCTGTTGAGCTTGTTCCTGCTATAATTAATGACATCTGTGAATCATTTTGTTGTAATTTGCACATTTTACATCAGAATATTCATCTAAAACAAAAAGAAACAAGTCCGCGGACTATGTGACCCTGTGAATCCTACATGTGTATCACTGATTAAGAAAAAATAAAATTGGAGAACAAGAGTATGTACAGAGCAGGTGTACACCGGTGGTGAAAACAGGGACTGATCAGCAATATGGCCTCTTGGAAATAAGCAATTAGAAACTGCTCAAACATCACAAATCACTTCAAATACAACTTCAGATGAGTAAATGGTAAGAGGAACATGGTTAAAAGCTCTAAAAAGTCAAATTTGCATAATATGTCTGATTCAAGGGTGAGCAATATGACATTTCATGTGATTACATGTCACTCTGTTCTCACTATAATGCAGCCTCTGTCACGTCATGAGTGAGTGACAGGTGAAGGTTCAGAAAAGCGGATACTGGTTAAATGGAATTTAAGGCTATAGTATATGCACATAATGATGACACTGAAATAGTGAGAAAATAGAGTATGAATACCATTTTTTGCCATCATCCACCACTATTCACATTTCACAAATCCTATGTGTGTACTTGTTGAGTTAGTTAACCTTTATACGTCAGCTTTCTCCCATGAAATGTTCAGGTCAATCTCTTAGTCACTATATCAGTGAGTGGCTGTTGTGATAGTATACCATCAGTTTTAGAGCATCTAAGAGCATTATTAGTGTGGCTGATCTCACCTGAGGCTTCGAGATCGCGGCCGGACGTGTGGTGAGCGCCGTCCGTCATCGTCTGTGATGCTCTCGGTGCTGCCAAAATGTTTGGACAGGAAGTGCAGCTCGTCCATGGTGGGCTGGAAGGGCAGCTGGTGCAGCCGCTCCTGTGATGAGCTCGAAGACTGCAGGGACACACCACAGTATCAGTCAAACACATTAAGAACACAAGGTACAACAATATATGAGAGGGTAGAAGCTACAAATATTAATAAAATATCCAGATTTCCAGCTCAATTAGGGTACAGTACATGTAGAGGAAAATATTCCCATTACTATTTATTATTAACCTGTTATGATTCATGTATTTGTGTAGATTTAATGAGATGTTTTGCTTTGTTTTATGTGATTACACTGTTTTGTAACTGATAGAAATGATAAAATTCACCTGCTTGTTTCTATGAATATGCCACTGTTCTGCCTGGAATGTTCCACAGTATGACATTAAACAGCTCTTTCTTACATGCATTCAGTTACAGGTGGTTTTATATCTCAAAAATACCTATAAAAACATGCAATCTGACTGTGATTGCCTCTCCACAGACCTGACCTGTAACTCGGTCTGGTTTGGTCTCCATGAAGATAGAAAGGTTTAATGCCATACTGTGAAACATCCCCGGCAGAGCAATAGCATCTCCATCGAGAAAAACATTTAACAGACCCACTACAAGAAAAGTTACACAATGCACCTTTAAAGAAAGAGATGATAGCTGGTTTTACGGGGCGCAAAAGCTGAGTCCACACATGTCGACAGGTGACTCAGGGTTAATGCTGTCTATATACACTGAGCTAGTAAAACAACTTCTTTTCAACAGAGGAGCCTGGATCAATGCGTCGCTTAATGAACAGATCTATTAGGAACCTCTGCCATTTGTGTAATAAAAATCTATTACAAACTCAATCTGAGCTTCTGCAGACAGCCCTGTAATGATGCTGTGAATTCACCCAGTCCAGTCAAGAGAATCAATTAGGCACTTCCCATGAGAGGACACAAGTCTGAGAAAACATCATTATACTGTATATCGTGGGCCAAAAACTTGCTGCGGATTTCTTCTTCTTTATCACCTTCACTTCAGTTTGTTTACTTTACTAAGTCATTCCAGCATCCTTTCTGCCCACAGTTCCTTTTGATCTTGATGCATAAAACCCCGGCACACACTCACACAAACTCACATCTTGAGCTTTCGTGTTTTATTTTCCATGTGCAAGGGTTATGGTGTAAATAATAAGAAAGATAAAGTCCAAGAGGGATTGTGAGAAGCAGGCGGGCTGATTATAAATGGTAAAAGTGATGGATTAAATTACCAAATCGATTGCTGCCTATATAATATAATACAACATACACTGTTCAAGGAGAAAAATATATTGAATGTCCATGTAACACACAGAATGATGAGGGACTAGGAGGTAATTCTTATGTTATTACAATACAAAAGATGGTTTTGCATAATATTAAAGTTAAAGGTGCACTGCATAACTTTTCTGGTGGAGGGTCTTGTCTCATTTATTCATTACAGATGTTTCTATTGCTCAAAAATACAATAATTCTTGTGAATAGGGACGACTCTCCACAGATCTGAATTGTAATGTAGCGTAGTGCTGTAACCTGCTTGTCTCCCTTGTGATAGAGACAAGCAATACTGTGGAACATTCTAGGCAAAGCAACATTTCCATGGACACATCAGGTGGAGGACCACTAGAAATTTTACGCAGTACACCTTTAAGGTTAAGGTACAGGAAAATTTGTTCTCTGCATTTGCTCTAGGTTTTGTTCAGGATTACCTTAGCTGGAGGATTTTACTGTGCATATTTTTGGGTTTGGATATTTTTGCTGAGGTGAAAAATAGCAGTAAATGAGAGGTGTTTATTTGCAAAAATGTGCAATCATTTCAAAGCAGAACCACAGAATAAGAAAAGGTAAGAAAAAAAGTGCTACAAATACAACTGCAGAGGATGATAACATTACTAATCAGCAATAAAAGACATAAATAATAATATTCATATCATTGTTTAGCATATTTTGTTTGAGCTGGTTAATGTTTTCGTTGGTACATTGGGTAATAGAGAGATTATGATATCTCACCGTAGAACTGGGCGTGTTTGTGCCATATCCTGAGGAGGGCAGAGAGGCCAGGGACCATCTACGGCCATCGGCTCTGCAACGAAACAGACCCATGAGAAAACACAGAGTAATTAAAACCTGTGAAAAGAGCTGTTCTCTGTGTAAAATTTATATCTAAATATTAGCAACTGTTGTTTGTGGTTTATTTTTCCCCAAAACAAAGAGATGAGACAATGTTTGGGCACCTTCCTCATCCTCATTTATCTTGCCTCTGTCAACTTGGTGTTTGAAACGTCACATCAGAACATAAAAAGAGTCTTCGTATTTATTCATAGGAGTGGGTGGGCCTCCTGCTGAGTTATACTGTGTATGTGTGTGTTTGTGTGTGTGTGTGTATATGTGTGTGTGTAAAATATTCCACTTTCTCTACAGAACTTCACGCGCTCTTGTGATGCTATAGCTGTTTGTTGTATGAGTGTGCCAAACCTTCTGGAGGAGGCGAAGCAAAAGTGAGCAGGCCCACTGGGTGAGAAGTTTCGCGGGCTGTCCAGGGGACTGCTTCCTGAGATACACAGAGGAACAGAAGAGAAGAAATATACAATAAAGACAAATTTATGCAGCAAAACAACAATAACAATTAGCATTATTTGTCAGTTTAAAGTATTAGGTTTTGTATATATGTGCAGTGTGCATTTTAAATATATATTCACATAGTTGGCTTAATTTATTTAATTATTTGATAGTGCACATTAAAGAGATAAATTCCTAAATTCCTAATCCTAATATGGACCTGGCTCCAAGTTTGTCCCTATAATCCCTAACATTGTGAGCTCAACACTAAACTCTAAACACTAAAATGCAGCTTTCTCCTAATTAACATAAATTATTTTGGTAAATAGTCAAATTTTTATAAAGCACTTTTCCACCTTCAAGCCACTTTACAAGCACTTTACACCAATGAACCACTCAACCATTCACACACACACTCATACACCAGTGTACATAGGCACATTTTATTAGCTATAACACTTTATCAGTCGTACAAAACAGCACTGACCAATGTGTCCAGGCAGTGGAGAGTGCGGCCGGGGCAGAGTCGGGGACGTACTCAGGATGAGGCTTTTTCGGTTACTGGTCCTGCAGCTGGAGCACATAAAAACACACAGAGAGAGAAGAGTCAATATTTATCAGTGTTACATCCACCTCCATCAACAGCGCACCCACTGACCCCCAAGTTAATGGCAGCACAGCATGTATTGTACTGTGTGAACCTGCTACTTGTGTCTGTGTTCATAGCTTTTATTGTGGAGAACAGTTGTCTTTATGTGCATACGAGTAATATAGTAATACAGTAATACAGAGCTTTATTGACACTGGGTCCTCCATAGGGAACAAGAGCAACACACTACAGATTTTTAATTTCCTCCAGGTCCTGTCACATATAATGGCGAACGTGATGAAGTGGAAGGGAAAAGCAGGTATGGACCATAAACAATATCAGACTATAAAGGCTTCTCCCAACGCTGTCTGTCATGAGAAGACGAGAATTTAACAATATCACACAATAACACACAGTTACAAGAAAATGTTTTTGAGTTGTTTGGTTTTAGTATTTTATCTGAATTAGGGTACATGTAAATAAAAAATATTACAGAGTTAAATTTCCAGTGTAAAACAATGGAGAGAGGATGGTGTCATCATAATATGGCAATAGTTTATAGCAGAAATAGACAAATAAGTAAATATTTGTTTAAAAAAAGGTTTACAGGAGATTAATTACAATAATCTATATGGTATATTTTTGACCAAATGTTTGTGGTGGATGAAGTTTAAAGGGCCCATATTATGCTATTTTCTATTGTTTCCTCATCACAAACATACCTGGAGTTGTGTTTTGTTTAATTCACATGTTTAACACACAAACACTGCTTATTTAGTTCTTCACTCAGCACATAGGAAGCACTCTACTGTGTTTTTAAACTCCATACACCTAACTAAAATTATTTGGATATTTTCAGCCCTGGAATTGCAAATCTCTCCTGAACAAAAGGTAAAAGGTAGATGATAAATTGAAAACTACCGCTTCATGGCATCAGAGCATTTTGAGTTTAGGAGATGTAGACAGGCTAATAATACAAGATTATTCAAACATGTACAAATGAAACAAAACAAAACTACTGGTATGTCTTTAATGTAATAATATCTTAAAGCGTAAAGCTCACAAGAGTCAATTTTGCATAATACAGGTCCTTTAAGATCTATTTTTTTGCATTGTCTTGCTGGATTTTATTTTAGTAGTCGACTAGACAAGCGATTTATTCTAATTGTACAATGTAATTTTTAAATTACATTACATATGAAAGATGATGACTGAAGGCTTCTCGATTAAGATTTATTTATTAAAAATCCCAGATTTTGTCCTGACACTAGTTCACTACACTAAACAGGGAATTTGATGACAATAAGTTTGAGGAAAATAAGAATTCTAATGAACTTTTATTTCATCTGTTTGATGTGAGAATTGCTCCACAGCTTCTGGTACCCAATTTAAGTGTCTGTCGGTCCAGATTTAGCAGAACAAAACCATCTGACCAACACAAGTTTTCTCCACATTGCATCATCTTCAACCCTCTTCTGCTTCTGCGTGTGAAGGACATGGAGAATTCCATAACAGGCGGGCAAAGAATCGAGGACACAGCGCATATTTGATGAACAATACTGAATATCTCGCTTCATGATCTATAGTTCTAACTCTTCTTCCACCCACATCCTTCCATCGTGTTTTTTTCTTGTTTTTCATGCCAGTCACTACAATTGTCTCTTGCACTGTGAGACATCAAGCCTCTCAAAAGATTTATTCGGTGACAGGGTGCCTCTACAGAGCTTGTACTCAGCCTTGCAGAACAGAGGAGGAACTTAGTGAAATATTTAAGAGAAATGCATTAGCTTTGGATGGTGGCTCTGAAGTCTTTGAGTTGCAGGAGATGAGAGGAAGAGAGGGAGGGTGCTAAACTTGTATGTGAAAAGTACAGATGGATAATGATTCCTGTAGTCTCCCTGTTTTCATCATAATTAAGACGAATGTAAAAAGGCACACAGGAATAGTTGTCCCAACCAGCTGTACACAACTCTCTCTCTCTCTCTCTCTGGCTTTTACTTAGCTCTTCATTCATGATTCATCACAACTGAACCCATTGAATCTGAGTCATTGACTGTTTAGATATTTAAAGTTGCATCATCATAATGTACCTTTTTATTTAGATATTCTACTTTGATGCATTTTTACTTACTTTGAGTTAATTAATTCAATGTAATGCATGTACTGTTTTTACATATTTTTATTTTTTGTTGTACATATCCAATAACCTTATTTGACACCAGTCTCTTACTAACTTTCTACTTAGTTTAAATGTATTATTACCACTTTGTTATTATAATATATTGTGATGTGTGTCCAAAAAATCCCCTAATGGATCAATAAATGTGTGTCTAAGTCCAAGTCTAAGTAAATTTAAGTCTAAGTCTCAGTCTAAGTTTAAGTCCAAGTCCAAGTCCATGTCCATGTCCAAGTAAGTCTAAGTCTAAATACTGTATGTGTGTCCAGTATCTACTGTGTCTACATTGCAATTACACCTTTGTTGTGTTGATATATTATACACTATAGTAGGGGTGGGCGATATTTAGGTATTTTAAATATATCGATATATTTTTTAAACACAATATGGATTTTTACATATCGTATATATCAATATAATGCTTATATTCAATTCTGATTTTGCAGCTTCGCTTGTTTGCTTTCTCTGTCATCGCCCCGCGTGCCACCACCTCCCTGATTTTGCTCGCTTGTGTCTCATTCACTCCTCACTACTGCCGTGAATGCCGAAACTTGGTACCAGTGAAAAGCTTCTAGCACCATGAACCTTTTCCACACAGCACATCTTCTGTCACAGAGAGAAAACTCATATTCCTCTGAGTCGTGTCCTTTAGTCCGAATGAAGCTGAACCGCTTTAGCCACACGCAGTGCGCTGTTTATGCAAATGAGACATGTGGTTTTAAGTTTTGTTTCTGTAAAACGTAAACACAAGTGCACAAAACTGCATTAAACACATTATAATCTCAAACGGGCTGATGTGGCTCTAGAGTCGTTATGCTTTATATGTTATAAAGTTTATTTATGCAGAAGATTTTAATTAATAATCTGCTGCAGTGTAACTTGTACAATACTGTTTGGAAATGTTTGGTTTGATCTGCAGTGGATTGTGGGATACCTCATAGCTCCTTACTACTGGTGAGGAACATGGATCTATTAAAATAAGGAACTTCCCGAGCTTCCTCTGCTAAACGAGCTCATGTTTATCGTATGGTTAATAGTTAATGCAAAGATGAGCTTGAGTTGAGTTGTTTTATTTATAAATGAAAAGAAGGCAACATGTATTATTTCTTTTCTTTTACAGTTAAATGATCATTTATCTAATTAGGGATTTTTTGCAATCTTGAATGCGGCAGAAGCACTTTGTTCCTATATGAACTGTCTACTTTTTGCAATTCAATTAAAAAAGACATGGTTGAATTTGGCATATTTGTTTTTGCAATAGTTTTGGGGGGTTATTTTTCCGGTACAGATATCGAGATATATATCATATATCGAGATATAGCAAAAATATATTGAGATATATTTTTTGCTCCATATTGCCCAGCCCTCTACTATCGTAACAAAAACACACTGTATTTAAGGTGATATTAAAACACTGAGGTTTAGAGGCTTTTGATGAGTGCTCCACATTCAACACTTAAACACCACTGGGGAAATGAAGAGCAGAAACTGTGCACCACCAAGAACACATCTCCAGATCAGAGCCAGGGTCCTCGTCAGGAGCTCCTGAAGGACTGGCCTAGTGCACTTACCCATTTATATTATTCTAGGGACACAATAGCTAAATATTTACTCTGGCTATATTATCTAACTGTAGATGTAAAGGTTTATGGTATGAATTATTATTTACAGTAGTCCCTCACTATAATATAACACGGTTCACCTTTCAAGGCCTTGCTGTTTCACAGTTTTTTTTGTGCAATTTTGCATGTTTTTTTTTTGTTTTGTTTTTTCCAGAATATGAACGTGCATTGTGTTCCTCCCCCTGCGTCCTGATTGACTAAGAGACTGTAGACCAATGTCAATCAGTCTCCTTCGTGCCGTGTCTCCTGTACAGTACAGAATGCTTTCAGCTTGCCAAATTTACATAAATGTTTGATCTCTAGCAGTGTGATTCTGAAGTGCTGTATGTTTGCAAGTTTTCTCCCCGACAAAACCCACAATGTCGACGAAATGTTCTGCACCGACAAAGGCTCCTGTGGTCGCACCCAAAAGGCAGAAGAAGATGCAAACCATCGGACATAAAGTTGGACTTCTAGACATGCTGAAGGAAGGTAGAAGTTATGCGCTGTTGGGCTACATTATGGAATAAATTAATCTTCAGTTCGTTACATAAATAAGGAGGACCATAACATAAGGACAACAGCAGGAATAAGTTTTAAGAAGAATGTAAAAAGGGTTGTAACTGTCCTGTCTGAGAAAAGTGCACAAAGTATGTGGTGAGGGGTTTTACAGCCTTAAAACCTACATAATAATTGACTACTTTGCGGATTTCATCTATTTCAGCTTATTTTTAGAAAGGAACTGCTGCCATAAATGAGGGACCACTTTATATTTAATTGTTTAGTAATAATTGTTAAACCTAAAGTCAAAACTTATTAACTCATTCCTCATAAGCTTGTGCTATTTAATCACACACTCCAGCGTTACACTGTTGAATACATAATAACACCACAAACAGAACATTGAAATAGGAAAAGGTATCTGATCTGTCCATAAAAGCAGAAGTCTCCAGCATCCACAGAGCTTTATGACAGTTATCTTAAAAGCATTCAGCACAGGCACATTTTAAGAGGAGTGTGCTCCATAATCCTGCAACCAGTGTTTATCGCAGGGAAAAGGTCACTTTGGAGTTCTGTTACTTGTGTATCTTTCGAGAGGCAACGGGAGAAATCATGAGAAGGGCTGGGACGTGATAAGCAACAACAATAGCTTTTTATTTTATTTTACGCCGAGTACATCCATGCTGAAAGGTTACGAAGTTCAGAT